CTTAGCCATTATCAGACCCAGCAGGGCTTCCAGGTCCAGGTAGAGCTGCCTTCACCAGAGTCAGCCAGTGTCGGCCAGTGATGCTCCATCTGATCCAACTGCTTTTGGGAGGCAGGCTTGTCCTGTATGCCTTCTGTGGTCTTGGAATGTAAGGTCTGAACTCTTAGAACCTATGCAGAATGTGGGTGGAAGCTATTTAGGGACAGAAAGGGGTACAGGGGACCTTGGCCACCTGGGTTCTGGAAGGAATCCTGACTCACTCATATACCTTTGGGGGAGCCACATACTGCCCCCATTTGTGAAATTAAGATAGCATCACCGTGTTAGGGGTCACACTGTAGGCACATAGCATCACACTCCTGGTACAGACCCTGTATATGGTGGAGCTGGGCAGTGTGTTCTGTTTGCCTTCCAGCTGCAGCTGGGGGTTCGACACCTGCCTCTTGCCTCTTCTCTGGGTACTTGAAAGTGGTTTTCCATCCTCAGGACCCTTCTTCACCAGCCCTTTCCTGGCTCCAGGTTGTGACTGTTGGATGTGGGGCTGTGCTAAGTCTTGGCTGCCTTGTGGTTCTGTGCTCACAGGGTGTCTGCTGGCAGCTCTGGACTCAGCTACCCACTGGGTACCACCTGGCCCAGAGAATGGGAGATTTATATCCTATGGGCTTCCCAAAAGGTCAGCCAACCTGTAGGGACCCACTCCATCCACCTACCCTCTTGCTTCCTCTTTCCTGCTAGGCTGGCATAGTCCTAAAGTGGGCTGGGCAGACACTCAGGATTAGGACTTACTAGGCATACAGAACCATATTCTGCCCTCTTAAACGTGCTGTGTGGGGCCAAGAGCATTTGCTGGCCTCCTTCTCATGCCCACCTGCTGCCAAAGCCAGTCTAAGGGAGGGATCTGTGGTCGCTATTCCTGAGCATTTTCTCTCTGGCCCTCCTCCTTCCTCATCCCCTGCCTTCCAGCTATTCCCTGTGGCCCTGCTGGGGACAAATAGGTCTGCCTTACCTAGGCTCGGCTCTGACTCTTGGGTTCTTTAAATTCCAGTGTCTCTTTGTTCTGGTAACTGACCTGAGTGTCTCCCAAGTTGGGTTGGACATGCATCCAGCTTGCATGAGATCTATTTGCGCCCCCCTCCCCCCCAAGTTCGTGCCCCGAGTCTTTTTCACCCCTGGACTGGGGTTTGCTTCTCCTGTGTTTGATTTCTCAATTTCTCCTTTTTTAAAGGCCTCTTCCCACTGTATGCCAGGCTGATGACTTCTTTTTTTTTTTTCCCTCACTGAGTTTTTCTGGAGAGATGTTTATTAGACATATTTTGGCTCAGAGAAAAATCAGGCCTAGAGAGAGGTATTTGTGGGTGATAGAGTGAGGGAACACACTGTGTGTGTGTGTGTGTGTGTGTGTGTGTGTGTGTGTGTGTGTGTATGTGTGTGTGTGTGTGTGTATGTGTGTGTATGTGTGTGTGTGTATGTGTGTGTGTGTGTATGTGTGTGTGTATGTGTGTGTGTGTATGTGTATGTGTGTGTGTGTATGTGTGTGTGTGTATGTGTATGTGTGTGTGTGTATGTGTGTGTGTGTGTGTGTATGTGTGTATGTGTGTATGTGTGTATGTGTGTGTGTGTGTGTGTGTATGTGTGTGTGTGTGTATGTGTGTATGTGTGTATGTGTGTGTGTGTATGTGTGTGTGTGTGTGTGTGTATGTGTGTGTGTGTATGTGTGTGTGTATGTGTGTATGTGTGTATGTGTGTATGTGTGTGTGTGTATGTGTGTGTGTGTGTATGTGTGTATGTGTGTATGTGTGTGTGTGTGTATGTGTGTGTATGTGTGTGTGTGTGTGTATGTGTGTGTGTGTATGTGTATGTGTGTGTGTGTGTGTGTATGTGTGTGTGTATGTGTGTGTATGTGTGTGTGTATGTGTGTGTGTGTGTGTATGTGTGTGTGTATGTATGTGTGTGTGTGTGTGTGTGTATGTATGTGTGTGTGTGTGTGTGTGTGTGTGTGTGTGTGTGTGTGTGTGTGTGTGTGTGTATGTGAAGAGGAAGAGAAGACGACTATTTTGAGATCCAGAAACCCAGGAGAGCTTGGGCTGAGTGTGGAGGCTGAGACATGGCTTCCCCCTCGCCTTCTTTGGGGAGAAACTTGTCTCATTTTGTCTCGTCTGTCAGCTTGGGGAGGCATCCGCTTTGCAGTCACTTGTCTGTGGTCGGGATGCTCTGGAGAAGAGATGCTGGTGAGAGGGTGCCTGCCCTGCTACCTGGGGGGAGGTGTTCATGCTTGGGGCTCAAGGCTCAGCCCAGCGGCTGGCTGAAGCCAGGAGTGTGAGCCTGAAGCCTTCCTTTCAGGGCTGGGAGGGAAGGTGTGAAGAAGCTGGCTGATTGAGATGCAGTGAGAGCCAGGCAGTGCTGGGTGCAAATGAGCAGCTGGCCCTGTGGGGACCCATGCCAAAGCTGACCTACCTCTGGGTATTGCTCTCCAGAGCTCTGGACTTGGCAGTCCGTTGTCCAGAGCAGAAGTTGACTATTAGAGCTTCATAGTGTCCTCCAGCCCTCTTCTTTCTCCCTAGAATTTAGGGAGAAACAAGCTACCTTTAGTGGGCCACTTTGCCCACCTCCAGGTAACCTGGACCTGGGGAAAATCACTCCTTTCCTGTAGTTTGTCTCCTAATCTCCTCATAGGCTGTGCTGCAGGTAGTTTTTGCATGCGTGCACACACATACACATGCATTACTGCTCCCCCACCCCACCCCAATTCTGGCTCATGGATCCTGCTGACCATTCATTCCTCTTGGTCCAGTGCTGGTCTTTGTATGCCTGGATTCAGTAGGCTTTTTTGCCCAGGTATCCTATGGGATGTGGGGGATGCTGGGAGACACTCCCTGCAGCTGGACCCTCTCCTTTCCTGGAGGGCCTGGGCTGCAAACAGCCGGCAGCCAGATTGGAGGAGGGGAGGCTGGGAAACCTGCCTGGGCCTCTGGCAGGTGAGGGCAACACTCCGCTTTGCTCCAAAAATACTCAGTGATCTTAGCTCTTTCTCTAGAAAACAGTGATGTCACCGGGAGCCAATAGGCTTCTGGAAGGGCTTGCCTCCCTCTCTGCCTCCTCCTTCCGCAAGTTGCAGAGAAGAGGGAGGAAGAGGGGGGGAGAGGGAGACACAGGCGACACACACTGACTCCTTGGAGAGGCACAGACAAGAAGCACACATGCATATAGCAAGCTCCACATTTCTGAAAAGCAGGCAAAATCCCTTATGTCATAGGCCAGCAGAAATCCACAGGACACGTGCGCGCACACACACACACACACACACACACACACACACACACACACACACACACACGAGAGAGAGAGAGAGAGAGAGAGAGAGAGAGAGAGAGAGAGAGAGAGAGAGAGAGAGAGAGAGAGAGAGGCAGGTAGACAGAATCACCCACACAGAGTGGGAGTAAGAAAGAAACAGAGATGGAGGCATTGACAGAGAGACATGAGGAAGGAGCAGGAGAGAGAGACAGACAGACACAGATACACAGCACACAAGCACACATACGCATGAATGCCAGAAAGAGACAAAGACAGATACCCAGAGGAGTCAGCAAGAGAAAAATAAGACCCAGAGAAAGGAGAAAGCTGGTACAGAGGACAGAGAGGTAGACAGTGGTCAGGAAAAACACAGCTAGACCCAGAGATGTGAAAGGGAGAAAGAGGCATGAGCTCACGGGGGTCAGGTGCAGAAAGCAGAAGTGTTCACACAAAGCTCGCTTGCTCTCCAGCAGCATCTTTGGGTGAGAGGGCCGAATAGGCACCAGGCTTCCAGCCTCCTGTTGGCGGCTGCTGTCCTTGGTACTGCCCTGGAGAGCTGGGCTTGGAGGATGGTACAGGGGAAAATGTGTAGTTAGCTTGGGAGTCCTGAGCTGTTGAAGGCAGGCAGGGGTGAGGTGAGACTGTCCTTCTCATTGGAAGAAATGATCAAGGTGACCTTGTCATGTCCCTCTCCCTTCCTGGTGTGAGAAGGGTGTCTGGCTGGAGGTGGACTTCAGGTTTTGTTTGCTCTGATATGTGTGGACAGTGTCCCCAGAGTCAGCCTCTTTCCTGGCTCCTCAAGCTTGCAGTTTGGGCAGGATGGAGGCCTCTCTTGCCTGCTTCGGTCCCTTATGCTCTTCCCCATATGGGTGTACCCTCTCTGGCTCCCTGATTTTGATGTCTGTGGAAGGTAGGGGATTGCTCCAGTGCCCCCTCCTTGGTTACCGTCATCTCTCTCCCTTAATGGTGGTGTCTGGAGCTACTGTGGGAGTCTAATAGATTCAAGGTCTGGAAATTGGAGGGCTGCAGTGCCTCCTGCTCCCCTCTGCAGCAAAAGCTGGCGCAGTGGGTTGGAGGAGGGGCTGGAGAGGCCGCTCAGGCCCGTGGGGCTTTCCCTCTGGTGTTGCCAAGCAGCCTCCTTAGCTTGTTAGGGATTCCCCCGCTCACTCCTGTAGGAGCCCTCTTGTTTAGTGCAGTAACACCAGGCTGAGCTGGGGGTGGGGCAGAGGAGGAGGCTGGCTCTGCCTTCGCCCACCCGGCTTCACTGGGGAGTGCCTTGCTTTAGAAAGAAATGCTGAATGTAAGGGCTACAGCTGGGCAGGGCCCCCAGGGCTGAAGGGGATGTGACTCTGCATCCCCTGTGTCTATAGCTCCTGATGCTTCTTCGAAGGGCAGGGGATACCTGAGGAAGGCAGGCCAGGCATGATTATGCCTGCTGCTTTTGGGGTCTGGGATGGGAAGTCTTGCTTGCAAGACTAGAGAAATTGGGATGTCCCCCTCCTTTCTTCTCCTCTTCCAAAGCTATACAGGAAAATCTTGAAGGTCCTCAGGGCACAGGGAGGTATGCATAAGAGATGGGTGTCCACGGACACTTGGCGGGGCAAGGGGCAGGTCCAGAAGTGGGGAGGGAGGTTTGGACATCAGCATAAACTGTAGGAGTGGGATCTTTTTGCCAATTCTTCATGTGTGACCTTGGCTGTCCTTGCTAGGTGCCCACGGCCTGCGAGAGGAACCCGAGTTTGTGACTGCCCGAGCCGGTGAGGGTGTTGTCCTGAGATGCGACGTAATCCATCCAGTGACGGGACAGCCCCCACCCTATGTTGTAGAGTGGTTCAAGTTTGGGGTCCCCATCCCTATCTTCATCAAGTTTGGCTACTATCCCCCACATGTGGACCCTGAGTATGCAGGTAAGGTATGAGTGATGAGGGCTGTCCCCCGCTTTCTCTCCACCCCCCTGTAGGTTGTGGCTGTGTGGCACCTTCCTGCCAGGACTCAGTGGTATCCACAAAGTCCCAGGTACTCTTCATTTTTATCTCTGTCACTTCTGGCCCTTTTCCTGACTGGTCCTATTAATCTCGGTTTCTTATGGTCTTTGCCCTTTGCCTTCTCTCTCTGCCCTCTAGTGGGTTTTCATCATAGGTAGGAGAGGAAGTGGGAGGTGAGGCAGGCCTGTCTGTTCAGTGTGGGGATGTGATGAGAGGCCAGGAGGAGTCCAGGGCAAGCTAGAAAGAGGGCCCCGTGGGAGGAAGCAAGGAGTAGAGGGAGGAAGGGAGATAGCTCCACCCCTCCCCAGCTATGGTACAAGGCTGCAGGATCGGCTGTCTGTGTGCCCCCCACTGTCCTGGCTCTGAAGTTGGGTGTCCTATGCTGAGCCTGGAGTGCATCTCCACTGTTTGCTGTCTGTGGCCCTGGCAGATACCCGATCTCACCTCCTCTGCCACTAACACCCCCCCCCCCCCCCCCCCGCCACACTCCCCACCCCGCTTTCCCTGGCCCCATTTGTGTGTTGCTCTGTAATTATTGTGCCAGCGTGGTCTCCCTGTGACTCACTGCTGCCACCCCGCCAGCCTGCCGGTGAGGAGGGTGCAGGGAGTGTGCATGTGTATGTCTGTGAGTGTGAACATGTGCTGGAGCTGAGAGAAAGCGAGGGGACAGGCAGGGTCCTGGCTTTGCCTTTCTTTTTCCTACGGCGTCTGAGCTCTGAATTAACTTTCTCTGAGGAGGCATCCATTCTTTTTCTTTTCCCTCCCTCCTCTGCCGCCTTCATGTCTTCCTTTGGTGCTGGCTGTGGAACTCAAAGCATTACACTTTCCTTTGAACCCCACCCGAGTCTCTGTGAGTCAGCGTCTCACTAAGTTGCTATCCCGGCTTCTACCTCGCAGAAGTCTTCCCATATTAGCCTCTTGAGTATCAGGGATGACAGGCCTGTACCACGGCACCAGGCCCTTTGCTGATTGGCTTTCTGTTGAGCCTATGTCCCCTGCCCTCCATTTGGCCAGGATTAACTTTGATAGTCTTTTTAGGCAGGGTGGTGGCATCAGAGTTCCTGCAAGGAAGGCTTGACTCTGAGGCGGGGAGACAAGCACAGGAAACAGTGGTTTTGGTTTGGGTGAATGTGGGCTGGGGTGGAAGGTGGGGCAAGAGGGCTGCTTTGTCTGTTGGTGTGTGGGCAGGGACTCTGCTCTGCCCTACGTGTCACAGAGAGGGCCAAAGAAGAACTGCCAACCCTTGCCTTACCTGGCCCTTCTAGGGTGGTCTTTGGGGGCATATGTCATCCTTGGTAGCAGGAGTGGGAGGGACCCAAGCATCTTGCCCTGGCCTGCCTTCCCTCTGCCTGGTGAGGGAAGGCAGACAGAAGGAAGCTGATTCAGAAAAGTCCTAATGGGACCAAGATATAGTGGGTCCTGATGGGGGCAACCCCAGTCTATCCTTTTCTGTATCTTCTCATGTCTGCATCCATCATGCCTTTCTTTTGCCCAGATCTCCAAAAGAATGGGCACATTTTTTAAGGAGCAGGGACTGTTGTCTGTGCCACACACAGCAAGTTGCCCTTGTAGGCTGGCGCAGGGCCATCTGGGGAGGGGCAGTGGCCCATGGTCAAGGCAGTTAGCCTTGGCTTTTGTCCCTGTGACCCATGGTGGGTGCCGACTGCCGTTTGGGGACACTGCCATGGGAAGTGGTCTAAACGTTATGAAGGGTCCCTTTGTCTTTTGCTGGGGGAGTGGGAGAGCTGATGGCTTGGCCTGATGGCTCACTGGGCTTTGTTCGCTATGTCCCCCCCCCCCTCCCCAGGCCGGGCCAGTCTTCACGATAAAGCATCTCTGCGTCTGGAGCAGGTGCGCTCGGAGGACCAGGGCTGGTACGAATGCAAAGTCCTCATGTTGGACCAGCAGTATGACACATTCCACAACGGCAGCTGGGTCCATCTCACCATTAACGGTGCGTAAATGTTTCTTGGGAGTGACCAAGGAAGATGGCCTCTGGGACCTATTCTGGAGGAAGTGCCTCTACTAAGAGGAGCCCCAGTAAGCTCTGGCCCCATAAGATCTTGGTTCGAGTCTTCTTTACACCTCTCAGATGGGTTCCTGGAATTCATGGGTCAGAAGCACGCATGCAAGCAGCAGATACCCTGTGTGTGGGGTGACATCAGAGTTCCTCTCAGGAAGGCTTGAATCTGCTTCTGGGCATCAGGGGGTTTGATTGGCCAGTGTTGTATCATTTCTTGGCCTCAGATGACTCTGCTAGCCCAGGGAATGTCTTTTCTCAGGTGGAGTTCCTTGAGTCTCAGCACGACTCTTCCAGGTTGCTCGCTTAGTCCTTGTTAAGTGCATTTATTTGGGTAATAAGTACCAAGGGTCTATTATGTTCCTAGCCCTGCACCAGGTGATGGGTAAATAAGGTTGAGTAAATCCAGACCCATTTCCTGCTTGAACAGGGTTTACCAGCTAATAAAATGTGAGAATCCTGGGAAGAAGAACTGTTTTAATGGCTGTCAGTTATTTATAGCTCATGTTAAATGGATTGTGCTATGCACAGACGCTTTTCAAGTGTCTGACTGGGGCAAGGAGGCCTGGATGAGCTTGCTGAGCTCCAGGGCTGCTCTAGGCTGGAGTGTCCTGGGTCCACAGTGGCGATGGTCTCAGGGGCTGAGTCTTAAGGTCTCCATGTAGGATGAGGTTTTAATAGCATCCATGCTGAGATGTGCTGTATCTGGGATAAATCTGGGATTATATAGATGCTGTGGCCCTGAGAATTGATGCTCCTAAATTAGAAATTTCTCTCGAGATGATTCTGCCTTGAAGAATGGTTCTCTCTCCCCTTTCTAGTGGGGTTGGGTAGACTTATGCTCTCCCTGTATTTGGGAGCCTGTCCAGAGTCTGGGAGAACAGAGGATTTTAGTTTTTTCTTAAGAGATAAATATTTCTTTTTCAGTGTTGGAAATCAAAGCCAGGGCCTTGTACAGGCCAGGCACATGCTTTGCCAAAGTTATGTTCTTAGCCCCGGAAGAGATTGTTTTAGCAAGAGTGTTGGCCTATAGTGCAGGACACTTTAAAGCTGGTGAACCCAAGCTGAGAGGCAGGCTTGTCACTAGCTCTTGTTGGCGCCTGCTGTTGAAGGCAGCTTTTTTAAACCTTGTGTAGATTTTCTCCAGCAGCAGCTGGCTTTCCCATGACCCTTTGAGCCAGTTGTGTGTGCAGGGAAATCTCCTCTTCAGGAACCCAAGCAGATCATAACTCAGAAGGTAGATTTGCTGCTCAGGGCTTCCGTGATTGAGCAACAAGTGAGGAGATCCTGTATCATCATCATCATCACCATCATCATCATCACCATCATCATCATCACCATCATCATCATCATCATCATCATCATTTTCTTTTGGTGTGCCTTTTCCTACTGCCTGAAACTGCCTCGAGGTGTGGCCTAGCTCTCCCATCATCCTGATTGATGGTGTCTCTTCCGGGAACCCAGACACCAGCTATGCAGCCAAGATTCATGTTCAGGAAGGTAGAGTCGTTGCAAACTTACTTTCTACTGGATATTGTCTTCATTTGCATGAGCTGATTACTCAGGCATTTCTAGTTTCTCAGAGTGGAATAGACATGGACCAAGACCTGTCAAAGATGTGGCTCATGTCTTGAATCCATTGCATAGTAAGTCGTTGGGGCCAGTTAAATCACCTCTTTGAGTTTCAGCTTTCTCGGAAAGAACCTGTTTGCAGAATGTTGCAAGATTCAGGGGACTGCTCTGTGAGATTGTGTCTTGAGCACTAATTATCCAAGGGTAGTTGTGGGCAAGATAGCAACCACATTTTCACAGTGGGGAAGGGGCAAGCTGATCAAAATGTGGGTGGCAGGGATAGCAGGCTAGGGGGCACTGAGGTCCTGGTGAATCTACCAAAAATTGTCCATTCAAGATGTGTTTCCCAATGTCCTCTCTGTGGCAGGCTCTGGGAGTCAAGCAGGGGACATGACCCAATCCTGGTGTTTAAGGCTTCCAGTCATGTCCAGAAATGATTGCTTTGTGCCTTCGAGAGTACAGAGGAGAACCTCTCTGAGGACATGGCCTCTGTCCGGAAACCTGGCCAGGGAGGAACTTAGGCAAGAGCAGGGAGTGAGGTGGGAAGGCTCCTTCCCTGTAGGGACTTTTGGGCCTTTGGGAACCCGGAGGAGAGCACCTCAGTTCGGGAGTGCGGGCAGTCTGTGGACTTGCAACTTCTGGGCAGAGTCCTGAGGTGGAGCTACCATCTGCTCTGTGCTTGAGCTCCAGGCCTTCGAGTGCAGTTCACTATCACCCAGGAGCTGGCCAGTAAGAAGTAGAACAGAGCAGCAGCCTTCAGGAAAGAGGGGTCCCGCCTAGGCCCCCATTTCCTCTTTTCCAAAATTTCTTCCTGTGTAAATATTTCCATTCTGGACAGAAAGGAGCGGGTGCCAACCATGTGCCACACCCAGAGCAGAATGTATAGTGTCAGGCATTTTGTGACAGGGATACCTTTGGAGCTAGAAAGCCCAGGACGAAAATAAGCTACAAAAAGTGGTCTCATTCGCCTCCTGTGTTTTCTCTGAAGACTGGTGGGGTGGAAACAGTCCCAATTATTCCTCTGTCACACATAAAATACCTCCGAAGCCCAAGCTGAGTCTTACTTTCGGTCTGGTGTATGGCTTGGAGGAGAGGCCAGCTTATTTTCGACCTGCGCTATTAATTATAGGGCACTTGCAAGAGGAATTAAGCCTGGAAATGCAGCTGGCAAGCTAACACCTAATTCAGTAAATAATTGAGAGTCAAACCATTATTTTCCTGAAAACTTGAAATTGTTCAAAGTACTTTCCTGATTAGCACCTAAATAATAAAGTAATTATGTAATTAGTAATTAATTTGTCACTTCAGGACATAATTTAATTTATTATCTTTTCTTTTAAGCTTGACACCAGAGGTAATAGAGGCTGTGGTTGAGTTAACTGAATTTCAGGGGCAGGGCGGGTGAATGTAGGCTCTGGTGTGAGTACGCATTCTCAGTGCTTGGAGGCCGGAGTCCCAGGACACCTTTACAAGGACTTGGGAAGGCTTGTCACCATTGCTTTTAGTCTTTCTGAACGTGGGCTGAGCACTGCTTTTTTTGAGAATGTGCGTTTCATGTGACGGAATGTACTTCTTTATTCACCCTGTAGTTCCAAATGTCCTGTGTATCCACCCAGCTATACATATTGGAGATTTGAGGCCAACGTGGCCCTGCTTGGTCTTGCTTCCTCGAGGATTGATGTACGTGCATTTGTATTGGGCTATAGACGTGTACATTGTAGGTCTTCATTTATTTCATTCATTCTTCCATTCAAGAAATGTCTGTTGAGCACTCTACATCCAGGAGCGACAGGAAATTTGAGTATTCAGCGGCACTAGGGAAAGGCACCTGCTCACGTGCATCAATGAAATGGGATCTGGATATAGAGTTCCAGGCCGAGCGAGAGCTTCTGCAAATGGACAGTCTTGAGGTTGAAAGTCCTTGCTGCAGAGGAGACACAGAAAACCAGTGTCGTTAGAGTCAGCAGGAGGGCGTGTCCAGGAGGTGCAGCTGGTGTAGGCCGGATCCAATTCTGGTGCCCTCTGACTGACTCTTGGGGCATGGCTCTATGGAGGGGGAAAGAGCCTTTCTGAAGCTCTTCCTTCATCTTCAGACCAAAGCCCGCCGGGGTGATAATGGCAGTAATGATAGCAGAGCGATCAGAGTTTGCTGTAAGCATTTGTCTGCATTTTACACAGGATCTTTCGTAAACCTTTGTCCCTTTTATTACCTACCTCAATTCTAGAGGGGAGAGGATTTTCTAGAGTCGAAAGCCCAGAGAGCCTGAAGAACCTGCCTGAGATGATATGGCAGGCTAGTACTTGAACTTGGGCCCTTGAGAGGAAGCCAGGATGGCCTATCCTAGTGTTGCGGGCTTTGGTGCTAGGATTCAGAACAGCCATTTTGGAAGAGCATGGAAGCCAGTAGTCTGAGAGGTCCAAGTTGACCAGACTGTCTCTGCAAGCAGCTCAGGCGAAGGATGCTGAGTCTCTTAAAAGCCGGTAACCCAAACAGGATGGAGTGTTACTCCCGCCTTCAGTGCCCGGGAGAGGATAACCTCATGTAATCAGGGGAGACTTAAGAAGGTAGTAGCCTGTGGAACTCACTGCTCACCTTTGTCCACAGGACCCAAAGACGAGGAGGCAGGCAGGTGGGAGATTTTTCCCTGTCTGTGGACTGAGGTAAAAGTACGATTGAGCATCCTTCGCCTGGGACCTGTAGTAGGCCTTGCTGGGACTCAGTCAAGAAATCTCCTGTAAATGAATGGGCTTGGGATACGGGAAGGAGGAGCCCCTGTGCAGCGTGATAATCCTGAAGGGAGGTGGGAGATTCTTCAGTTCTGTTTGTCCTATTCCTAGCACTGAGCACAGCAGCTTCCCAATTGTAGGTGTTCTTAAATACTTTCCTGGGTAGGAGCTAAGTTCAGCTGGATGAGTATAGAATTTGCAGACAGCCAGACTGAGAGTAGGTCAAAGTTAACCAGACTGTCTCTGCAAGCAGCTCAGGCGAAGGGTGCTGAGTCTCTTAAAAGCCGGTAACCCAAACAGGATGGAGTGTTACTCATCCTTTCAGAGCATGGGAGAGGATAACCTCACTTAATCAGTAGGTCCTAGGTCCATCATGTGTCCCCCTTGCCAACCCGCCGTGATACATTTGATTATACAGGGTAGAAGTCTCTGCGCTCTGTTTTTGTTCCTTTGTCCTTGCATCCTACAGCGTTCTGCCCAGGTAGATGATGGAGTCTGTCTCTCACTTTCCTGGTGTTCTTTGCAGCCCCTCCCACCTTTACAGAAACACCCCCCCAGTACATTGAGGCCAAGGAAGGGGGAAGTATTACCATGACTTGCACTGCTTTTGGGAACCCTAAGCCCATCGTCACCTGGCTCAAGGAAGGGACCCTCCTCGGTGCTAGTGGGAAGTACCAGGTGAGTGCAGCCCTCATCTGGGTACCACAACCACTCTTCCTCATCCTCTCTCCTTACGCATCTCCCATCTAAGGCAGCTGGCTGCTGGTGTTATGTGTCCGGGCCCAGGGTGGCGGCAGACAAACCAATGGCCTTGCTTGACGGCAAGCATTCTGCTGCCTTTTGTAGGAAGGTGAAGAAGGAGGTCCTTGTCCTCTCTCTGCCCCTGTATATGAGTCTCTGAGGCCATTGACAGCTTCTCAGAACTCATCTTTTTCTTAAGAGACACGCTGGTGCGGCCCACAGGTTGATGCTGAATTCTTTCTGGGCCTCTAGGTGAGTGACGGTAGCCTGACAGTGACATCAGTCAGTCGGGAAGACAGAGGCGCGTATACCTGCCGAGCATATAGCATCCAGGGTGAGGCTGTGCATACAACCCATCTGCTTGTTCAAGGTAGGGAGACTCTTTTAGCCTCTCTGTCTCTGGAACTCTGTGGGAGGCTTCCAGGCCTGCTGACCCCTGGAGAACATTTTCTCAGGGCACAGCCTGCCCAACTGGGGGCGCTAGAGGAGCTGGGTGGGGCCTGTCTCATAGATATCACTTACCCCGTCTCCCACCCTGGTCAGCTGAGGAATGGCGTGGCAGGAGGACAGGGAGTGTGCTGAGCCATTTCTGATTCCCTGTTGAGAGGGCATTCGGCCCATGTCTCCCCCTTCGTCAGGGAGGAAACGCCTTAAGGTCATCTATCCATTAGGGGTGGCATCAATATATAAGGACAGGACAATGATCCAAGCCCCTGACATTTAAATAACATCAGGGACTTTGAGTAAAGCTGGGTTCTGTAGTGAGCTGCGAGATGTTGGCCTGACTGTCTGGTCCCAGAGTGCCCTGAAAGGGGCTGAGCATCCACTGCCCAGGATGGGATGGGTGTCAGGTAGGGGGTCTCTGCATGCCGGAGTAATGGTGGGAGTTAAGGTGCTTATGTCTAGTTGGCAGGGCAACCGTGGTGACGTTCTCTCCTTTGGCCTCTGAGGGCTGAGCGGGAGCTGAGGCGGAGGGTGGGAAGCGGCATACCCCCTAAGGGAGGGCCGAAGCCCAGCTCTGCTGAGGTCTGGCTTACCAGTCCCAAGGCTTGCTGCGCTTTGCCTCTTTGCTCCCCAGGCTCCTCTCCTGAGTGGCCAGAACCTCCGACTAGAGAACAGTATAAGAGTCTGTCTACTTCAGAGACAAGATCAGGCCTTGTACCTTCTAACCTGAGCTCTGTTGGAGAGAGTTGGGCAGGAAAGTTGTATGGAGGTTATAAATGGCTGGTCTGGAAATCATGGAGCCATTGCAGATGTGGTACAGTAGGGTGCCCGTGCCTCACAGCAGCTGGGAGCATCTCCCCAATGCCTGGGCTCTGCTGCTGAGACACCCCATCTTGAGCATCCCAGAGCTTCCTGGGAGGCTTGGCATGGTAGCCCTCGCAATCAGGAGAGGTGATGTTTATTCCCTGTTCTCCCCAGGGCCTCCCTTCATTGTTTCCCCTCCTGAGAACATCACCGTCAACATCTCCCAGGATGCTCTGCTTACCTGCAGGGCAGAGGCGTATCCCGGCAACCTCACCTACACCTGGTACTGGCAGGATGAGAACGTCTACTTCCAGAAGTGAGCAGCACCCTGCTCCAACCCTCTCACATGGGTCCCCACAGGCCCCTACCTTGAGAGAGGGACCCTGGCAGTGCCTGGGAACCCAAAGTCTCCTTGCTGCCTCTAGGGGAGGAGAAGGGACTCATTGCTACCTTGCTTGTATCTCTGCCAACATCCCTCTTCTCCTTGCCTGCTTGTCACTCTTTTGCAGTGACCTGAAGCTAAGGGTGCGGATCCTGATTGATGGGACACTGATCATCTTCCGAGTGAAGCCAGAGGATGCTGGAAAGTATACCTGTGTCCCCAGCAACAGCCTGGGGCGCTCCCCCTCTGCCTCAGCATACCTGACTGTGCAGTGTGAGTAGGGGTGAGGGAGAGGGTTCTGGGCATTCTAGTAGGTGCAAGCTGCACTAGCTAGATTGGAAACTGAAGACCCAGCATGTTTCTGAGAACTAGAGGAACATCCGAGGGAGGAATAGTCCTCCTCTAGAGGAGGCCATGACCAGTCTGGCCAATAGAATGAACTGATCCTGGCAGATGTCTTCTGTGGGCTGGCCATCACTGGGTGTCAGCCAATTCATTGGTTCAAGTTTAGGTCATGTTCAAGGATAAACAGACCTTCACTTTGGACATTTGTCATTCAGAATGGTAATCCTTGTGTTATTATACTGGTTTATATCTGGGCCTTGAATTGGTTGTTGCTAGGCACATTTTCCTAGGTGTCTGAGGGAGAAGGGTTAGGTTCTCTGCCAGTTGCCCTCTATCTTTCCACACGTGGACATTGGGTACTGAGTGGAGCAGGACCTTTCTGGGTGACTTGGTCTGCTTCCATACCTGGCTCCCTCTGGCTTCCCAGTCCCTCTCCTCAGGGGCTGTGAGACTCGAATTCATGAACTGCTGTTCCACCAGACGCATAGAGGGCTTCTGTGTGAGCCCTAGATCCCACCTAGCATTAGTACTTGGGCACCTTGGGTTGCTTCCTACCCTGTGACAAGCTGGACATCGTGACAAAGTGAGATGGGAAGATGGGTAATGAAGATCAATGTCTTCCTTTTGACTCATGGATGGCCCTGTCACACAGGCAACCAAGGCCACAGGTTGTCGCTATAGGTGACAGACCTCCATTATTGGAATGCTGGTGTGGGAGAGTTATGGACACCCGAGGACATGGAGTGGCAGGGAGGAACGATGTAACATGGTGGTCTAAGTCAGCCTCTGAGCTGAGGACAACTAGAGGAACAATTGATGGCCGCACAGGTCTGAGTGTTTGCATGGCTCTGCTGTTGGACAGGCAAGGTCACAGTGGTGAAGCTCCATTGGGCCTGCGATGTCCCACCTCACTCCTCATGCTACGTGTTTTCTCATTTCTGTGGGGTGACTTTGCTGGTGGAAGCAGAGGCCTCAGTTCCCCTGCACTGCTGACGACTCAGGCATTTGTAGCATGCCGTGGTGCAAGTTCCAGACTTTTATGAGTCGGGAAGCCCAGGACACTGGGTGTGTCCCTCTAGACCTGTAATGGGAAAAGCAGGAGACGGGATGTGCTCCTGCAATCCTGGGGACTCCAGGAAGGGGCTGCTTCACCTGGCGGGTGTGTCTCTCCCTCTGGGCTGGATGCGGGCAGTGCCACAGGAGCCCGAAGGTGGCAGTGTTGCAGGCGTGAGCAAGCCAACAGGGATCAGCCTTCAGAAGGATGCCAAGCCAGTCAAGATGACGGCTCCATCCTGGGAGCTGTGGGCCACTATTCTCTTGCAGAGGCGTGTTGGTTTCCCTGGCTCTCCTCAGCACCAGCATTGCCACCCACTCCCACTTGTCCCTTTTTACCCCCTTCCTCCCTTCAAAGAGAATCCAGGGAGTTGAGATTTATAGGTGGGTGAGACAAGGATTTTTATTTCTGCTAAAGAGCGGTGCTCAGAGTATTTCCCATTCATAAACCCTTTGAAAACCTTGGAGGAATTAAAAAAAAAAAAAAAGACTATCATACAAAAGTAGGAAGCTACATCTAAATATATAACCCGGCCTGGTATTTATGTAAGGCTGTTCTCTGAAGAGCTCAGAATGCTTTAAAGGTACCAGCTCATTTATCACAGCCTTCCTAGCTCCGGATCTTTCTCCTCTGTAGCCCTAGGGGTTCTGGGGAGAAATGAGAAAATGTGACTTAACTTTCAGCACAAGGGCTGCTGGGCCTCTTGCTCTCTGTCCTGGGGCCATGGTGGATTTTACCTTTAACCGCAGAGTCAAGTGGGATACTGTGGCCAAGGGAGGCCAGACATCCAGTGGAAGGAGTCTCAATCCTTATGCTTGGGACAGCATTGTACATAGACCTGACATTGCTCTTTTGGTTTAGGATGTGAAGTAATTAACTGCTTACTCCTGAGAAACTTCAGGGTACAAAGTAGTTGGAGAAGTGCATGGTCATTGTTGGCTTGGCAGGGCTGGAGTAATGTCTGCGGTGAGAGCCATTTCCGATTTCTGAAGACTAGGGCCGTTTGAAATGTGCCTTTGAATGCCTCCATGCATTCTTGCACATCCTAAGGTTCTTAAAAGCATAGTAAGTTGGGCAGGTAAAAGAAGTGTGCAGCCTGCCCCAGCCTGCTGTGTGTGGCCCCTAGGCTGTAAGTGCTGGAGAGTGGGATTGTTGGTGGCCCGGGCTCCTAGCACTGTGGTGAATGTTGAGAATCTGAAGTAGTAGATGTAAAGGTTCTTTTGCAAAGGAATCGGGGAGTGTGCGCTGGCTTACCTTCTGCTCTGAGTGCTCACGTGGCTTCTCATGTTTTTCCACACCACCCCTCTCACAGACCCAGCCCGTGTCCTCAACATGCCCCCTGTAATTTATGTGCCCGTGGGAATCCATGGCTATATCCGTTGTCCTGTGGATGCAGAGCCACCTGCTACTGTGGTGAAGTGGAATAAGGATGGCCGGCCACTGCAGGTAGAGAAGGTATGAGTGAGATGCAGTGTTGGGACTCAGAACGAGGAGCATCCTTCTGACAGTAAAGGTGCTGCCTCTGGGCTCTGGTTCTCTGCCAGCCCCACTCCTCCTAAAAAGCCTAGGCAAACAAAAAGCAGTGATCGGGCAGGAGTTTGGCTATGTTCCAGGCCCACAGGGGATGCCAGTGCCAGCCTGTACTCGGTCTAGCCCAGCTCAGACCCTGCCTGGAAGTGGCTGGGGTATAGTGCCTGTGTCCTGACCCTGGCTCCCTGCTCTCTTATCTGTGTCTGGCAGAACTTGGGTTGGACCTTGATGGACGATGGCTCTATTCGCATTGAGGAGGCCACAGAGGAGGCTCTTGGCACTTACACGTGTGTGCCTTACAACACTTTGGGGACCATGGGCCAGTCTGCCCCCGCACGGCTTGTCCTGAAGGTGCGTCTCGAGGACTGTACATGGCCCCCCGTGGTGGGCAGTCTTCCTGTGGCCAACCTTTCACACCTGTCTCTGTGCGTCCATTAGGACCCCCCGTATTTCACGGTGCTACCAGGCTGGGAGTACAGGCAGGAGGCCGGCCGGGAGCTGCTCATCCCCTGTGCAGCAGCAGGGGACCCCTTCCCTGTCATCACCTGGAGGAAGGTACCTGGGCTTTGGAGCTCTTGCACCATAGGGGGAGGCAGGGAGGATCCAGTGGTGGTTCTATTTGGACCTGTGGGGACAGGCCAGATGTTAGGGGGGGAGGCCACATTGGTGGACAGTGGTGGGGTGTTGGCAACGGGCTCAGGGATCGCTGAGACTCCTGAGTTGTGAGCACAACATCCCTTAACCTGAATCCCCGCTCCCATCCTCTTTCCTGCTCCTTGTTTGGCTAAGGTAGGGAAGCCCAGCAGAAGCAAGCACAATGCCCTGCCCAGCGGGAGTCTCCAGTTTCGTGCCCTGAGTAAGGAGGACCACGGGGAGTGGGAATGTGTTGCCACCAATGTGGTCACAAGCATCACTGCCAGCACCCACCTCACTGTCATTGGTACGTGCTTGCACAGGCCAGCTGGGGGGACTTTTCTCACTCGGCAGGTGTCTTTCCTAAGTTAGACCAAGGGCTACACCCTGAAACCGTTGACCTCAGGGGACTCCAGCAGGGAGGCTCAGTGTCCATGTTTGTCCCATCTTGGGGAGGACAGCACGTGGAGACTGGAGTAGGAAGAGTGAGAATCAGATGTGGCACCTTGGCCAGGCAGGCACTGAGCTGCCTGAGGGTAGTGCTGGTGTCCGTAGCCTGGGGCATGAGGAAGCGACTAATACCCCTTGTTCCGATGACTCAGGACATGTCAGCCGGAGTGTAGTATAGCCTGTCTCTTTGGAGCTTGACAGTCACAGTTGTACCCTAAGCCAACTCAGTATTTTCTTGCCAGGTTAGGCTGTGAATAAAGTGGTCTGCATCTTGTCGTTCACAGCCTAGCAGGGGAGCTCCTGCTCAGAGTCACATCCTTCATCTGCAGTAGGTGCTGGCATGGCCTTAGACCTGGCTCACTGTTGTCTGCTGTGTGCAATGTGGCTGTCTCTTGTAGCTAGAGATTTAGGGGATGTGACTTTTGGTTTTTCCCAGGGTGTCAAGGGAATGTTTTTTTTTAGCTCACATGATGCATGGGAATTTGGTCAGGATGAAGAGGGTTCTGTTTTTCTTCTGGCCTGTGTCCTTGCTGGTGATGCTGGCCTATGTAGCAGGTGGGCTTTATCCCCCTGACTCCAGCAGAGCCAGGGTGGGCTTGGGATCCTGCCCTCGCTGCCGCCGCTTCCTATGACACATCTTGGTACTACATGCTCTGTCCTCTCCTGTCTCCTACAAGAAGATGATGGGGACCTAGCATGTGGGCTCAGCTTCTTTTGGTCTGAGCTATCTTCCTTGGTCTCCAGGCACCAGTCCTCACGCCCCAGGCAGTGTCCGGGTCCAGGTCTCCATGACAACTGCCAATGTGTCCTGGGAGCCAGGCTATGATGGAGGCTACGAGCAGACATTCTCAGTTTGGTACGGACCTCTGTGAGTCAGCCCCGCATGCTTTGCTCTCTGCTTCTCCCTCCTTTGTCCCACTTAGGGCATCCAGTCTGCCCCGTCCCACCCCATCCCATCCCACTCCATCCCATCCCATCTCATCCTGGGGTGGGTGGTGGGCCCAAGGAGGCTAGGATCTGTACTTGCCAGATCTGCAGACAGCAAAGTGGGCCAGGCAGTGATTGAGTTCTCAAAGATGCTAGGGATGTCTATAAGGGACTCCGTGCATCCTTGCATTACCACCGTGGAGTCTAGAATGCTGATTTGGGCTTAAATTGTCCCCCCTCTGCTCTCTCTTTGGCTCTCTCAGTGCCCTCTCAGTCTTTCTCTAGGTTCCTGATCCTGATGGTGTTATAAAATAGCATGTGAAGTATAGGGTCTAGTTTTTATTCTGTTCCTTGCCCAGAGGTCCTAGGTACCAGTTAGGAGAACAGGTCTCCTGCTCCCATCCCTGCCCTTGCCTCCACTGTCTGTATTCTCTCCCTAGGACTTTGTGCATGTCATTTTCATGTCTGTTATTAACCAGATCAGGGACTTAAGATCCTTGCCCAGACCTCGGGGTGGATAGGTCTCACAAATGCATGGACCAGGATGAGGACCCAAGGCACGGGATGGTGTGAAGAGAAGCCGAATGGCATTCCCTTCCTCCCCACATCCCCAGGGCTTCCCGTCCTAACATTCCCATCCTGAGCTGGGAGCTACAGCCTCCAGCTTCACGGACAACCTCCTCAAGTGTGGAAGGTGGCCCATTGACTTCCTTCTCCTTCAGCCTGGTTCAGCCTGAATCTGGGGAGGAGGAAGAAGCAGATGTAAACCTGAGAGAGCCTTCAACAGCATGAGGTTGAGGGGGCCTTCCGTTTCCCCAGCAGTTCTCAGACTGAATGCATACCTTGGGAGTTTTGAGAGCCCCGTGGATGAACTGTACCTGGATTGTCTGTGTCCCTCGGAGTTGGGAAGGGTGGTATCTGATATGGCAGAGCTGTCTACTGGGGTGGACAGACATTTGGGTGCAGAGAAGGGCTCCCTTGTTGCCTGTGGTGCTGCTCTATACTGCTGCCCATCTGTATCACTTTTATCACACTCTGTTCACTTGCTTTGGTTGGGAAGATCAGTTGCCAAGGTAGAGGTTTTCCCTTCTTTCTGACAGGCCCTGGCTCATTGTACTGATATGGTCATTGGCTCCTGCTGTCCCCCTCCCTCCTTTTCATCCATGCTTTCTTTTGCCTCAGCTCACATTATTGGGCATACCTGGTAGCGATAGTGAGTCTTAAAACCTAGAGAGGAACCTGTGGGTATCAGTTACCCAGGACAATGTCTCCCTCCTGTGGTGTCATCTGGGACTGCATCTGTAGCAAGTGGCTTCCTTGCCTATTGGGAGTTGAGGAGGAGGGCGGCTTTAGAGTGGAAAGCCTCACCCCTAGTCTCTTTACTCTCCATCACTGTAACTTTCCCCTTGATTGTGATTTCTAGCCTTCAAGGCCTTAGGAGTCCTGGTCCTGCTACGAAGCAAACGCTGATCATTTTTGTTACATGCCTTGGATATCCTCAGATGACCCAAGTTGGACTGGATTGAGCTCAGCATCCTGGATGACATTGGGCCACACTTTTGTCTCTCCCTGGTAGGGTAGACAGTCAAGGTTATCTAGGTCCCTTTTCTAGCCACGTCATTGCCTAGCTGCTCATTCTCAAATCCAGTGTCCCTATTCTATCAAGCAGAACCCGTTTATAAAGCAGCGCTTCCAGTGAGATTCTCTCACAGAGCAACTGGTAATCTGGCCAGTATCTTCAGCATGACTTACACCCGAGGACCTCTTTTGACTGGGGAGGTACCACAGTGGGGTATGCCCTGGTGCCATGAAAGTTGGCATAGCCAGAGCCAGGCAGGTAACCCCACCTTGGTTATCCCTCTTCCTGCCCTTGAACCTGAGAATGCTTGACCTTTCACTGCCTTTTCCTTGGGGACCCTGTGTGCATGCTCTTCTCTCCAGTGTGACCCACCCCACCCCTTCTCCCCCATCCTCTCTCTCTCTCTCTTGGCCAGGATGAAGCGGGCTCAGTTTGGGCCCCACGACTGGCTGTCCTTGTCAGTACCACCGGGGCCCAGCTGGTTGCTGGTAGACAGCCTGGAGCCTGAGACTGCATACCAGTTCAGTGTCTTGGCCCAGAACAGGCTGGGAACCAGCGCCTTCAGTGAGGTGGTCACTGTGAACACTTTAGGTGAGGCCCTGGGCTGGGTGTATGGGGGCTAATTCTTAGCAGATCTGGGCTAGACAAAGATGGTCACAGAACTAACATTAGGGCTGAGTGTGCCAGTACCTTAGTAAGTGTTCTCTGTAATGATTTCTTTTGATTTCCCAATAAGGACTTGACATTCTGAAGGGTTTGCCTGGTCCCATATCATGGCAGTTTGGCTATTTTCCTGTTGAACCCTCAGGTGGAACGGAGGGGTTCAATGATATGTATAAATGTTCGGCCATTCTACAAGGGAACAGGGGTCCTTCTGCACTCTCTGACTGCAGTGGTGTGTCTTCTGGGGTTCCACGAACAGGCCTTGGCAAGCAGACTCTTTTCACATGGACTGGAGATCATGACTCCAGCCCCCTTTCTGCCCCGTGGATGGCAGGTGTAAAATGCTCACTCCAAACTCTGAAGCTCCCCTGCTGGGCCTCATTTTTTGTTTGTTTGTTTGTTTGTTTGTTTTTGAATAGGGTCTCACTGTGTAGCCCTACCTGGCCTGGAACTCACTTTGTACCAAGCTGGCCTTGAACTCACAGAGGTCTGCCTGTCTTTGCCTCCCAAGTGTTGGGATTAAAGGTGTGCACCACCAAGCCTGTCCTGGGCCTCGTTTTGAGCTCAAAGGCTCCAAATGGAATCAAAAGTATGACTCATGTGTCGTGAGAAGAACTTACTAGTTCCTGGGATGGGAACAGAAGATACAATCATGTACCGCTTAATAGTGGGGGAAGCATCTGAGGAAATCACATCTGAGGAACCTGTCATTAAGCAGCGAGGTCATTGTGTAGATGGTTCGGCACCTGAGAAAACGATGCAACCAAGAAAGACAGGGAACTTTGGATCAGTGGAGCTGACGCAGGGAGAACAGCGTGGGCTGTTTTCATTGGAAACCTTTTCTGTTGTTGGAGTACACGCTAGCCATGAAAAACAGAGCATAGTGAAAACAACCTGGAGCATGGTTGGGTGCTACCCTCGCCACATGTTCTGCACTGTAAACAGCTGCATGCTATGTTACCCTCAGTGCCGTAGATTCATACCAAGGTACCTCACACGTGTGAGGAACCTGTTGTTCTCTGTTATAGTGGTACTCTCCTACTAGCTGATAGGAATTTTTCAGCTCCGTGATTTCATGGGGCCACCATCAGGGATGGTGCTGATGTCGATGTTATGTGGCACATGGCTGTGCTCGGCACTGGATTTTTCTTTCTTCTCTATGGTGCACGCTGCTTCCTCCCTTTTGAGGAGGCTTTTGGTCGTCTTGTAGTTGTCCTGTTCCGAAAAGAGTCACAGAGCTCTGGGTCAGCAGCCCTGACTTACCTTTCCTAGAAACAGAAGGGCTACTGTAGGTGACACCCTCTCATCTCTCTGAAACAAATTCGTTCTTCGGTAGGCTCTGCCTCCCACACTGGGTTGGGGGTTTGTGGCCCTCATCTCTCTTCTTCCTTTTCCTGCGACAGCATTCCCTGTTACAACTCCAGAACCTCTGGTGCTGGTGACCCCACCAAGGTGCCTCACAGCCAACCGGACCCAGCAGGGTGTGCTCCTGTCCTGGCTCCCACCTGCCAACCACAGCTTCCCCATTGACCGATACATCATGGAGTTCCGAGTTGGGGAGCGCTGGGAGATGCTGGATGATGCCATTCCAGGCACCGATGGAGACTTTTTTGCCAAGGATCTGTCACAGGTGGGGACTTTGATTTTCATGCCTCTTATTCCCAGTTTCTGGAATGGTCATGACTATTTGCAAAGCCACTGAGCATTGAGTGACCCACCTCCAGAGCATCGGGTCAAGCCCAGCACTGGCCCTCTTTTTCTGTGGTCTTAGACTCTCCCTAGTTTGCTACCAAGGGTTGGACAGACCAGAGCTATCTTAGTGGCATTGGGGACCAATGCTACACAGATGGTTTTCCTCAAATAGAGACACTAACTAGGGTAAAGCGGGATGAGGCCAGTAGGGATCATCAGACCCCAGACGTCAGTTTCCTGGGTTCCAGCTAGAGTGGACTAAAGAGGCCCTGTAAAGGTTGTCTTCTAGGCTGGCCAAGAGAAGGGCTCTTCTTTTAATAATTCAGAGTCCTGGGAGGAAACACATTCCCTCTTTATTTTGGTGGACATCTTTTAAGCAGGAACATCTTTTTCTTGAGAGAGAAAGCAACTTGCTTTATAGATAGAAGAGATCTCACATATCCTTCCATTTCCCCTTTCCTAGATGCTCTCTATGGCTGCTGGAATTGATTCATGATGCTTTTTGATAGATCATTGTGTATCTTTCTCTGCAGTCTTTCAGTGGACTCATGGGCATAGCTTGAAGTCCATAGCTTGAATGGTGGGAATATGTACACTATAACATTGGCCAATGCAAGCAGTCACCATTAAACACTTCTTGGGACCAGTGCTCTGGGCAGCCTGTTCTATGGAAGTCATACACAGGGTCAGTGACTGTTTTCCTAAGCCCTGCAGTTGACTGGGTATTGTCCCTGGATTGTAGGATACATGGTATGAGTTCCGGGTTTTGGCTGTCATGCAGGATCTGATCAGCGAACCCAGCAACATCGCCGGTGTCTCCAGCACAGGTACTTTGGGTCCCCCAGTTGTCTAACAACAGCCAGGGCATAAGCCTTAGAGCCACATGAGCGTCCTTTTGTGGAATAGCTCATCTGGGAGGACAGGCTGGGTTAGAGACTTAAGCAGGAGTCTAGTTGAAACTTCATGAGTCCTCGCATTTATGAAGTCCATCCGACCTGTGATTCCATGACACATTGTTTTATCCCACCATGGAGCTGGGCTTCTGATACCTTCCGTAAGATAGCCGAGGAGGGAAACCCATTGCATCTTGTCGGTAGGTGCTGCTTGCTATACACTGTCTGTTTGCTCTCGAGCACTGCTGTGTAATGGGGCGGGCCCCCTGAATTAGAGGGGAGATCCCGCAGGTCAACAAGTGTTTGCTGCATGCCTATTATAGGCTTCCTTATAATTATGTGGGTTTTATTTGGAAAATTGTTGTTTGGTGTTGTTTTCCTTCCTTGCTTCCTCTCCCTACAGTTGTTGTTTTTTTTTTCTCTCAGACTAAATAAAGCCAACTCCCTAGCATTTACTCCATTTATCTTTTTTTTTCTTGGCACCAGTCCCATTTCCACATGTCTTCTCTGCATTCCAGAGTTCCTGAAACACAGCAGAGACCCTCCCCAGGGAAGTGGTGTCCTTGGTGCGGGAGAGGCTCTGGCTTAGTAAGCCAGCCCAGGCACCATTTCCTTGGGAGCAGCGTGTTCTGCGATCTCTGGGGCCAGGTGGCAAGGGTCTTGGCCAGAGAGCTCTAGTAGGGAGCCTCTCAGAGTTACAAAAGCATTGGCATGGGCAGATGGGAGGAGAGATGTGGAGCCAAGGGCACTGTGGGGAAGGGGAGAGTGTGATTTTTTTTTCTCTCTCCTATATCAGGCACCCTGGGGTGCTGTGTAAACTCAAGTTATCTCCCATAGGCAGCAAAACTTAGCTGCTTCTGTTCTGGCTTCCCTCCAGGGAAGAGACTCAGAGAGATGGAAGAACCTAGAAAAATAGCTTCCAGCCAGAGCCAGCGGAGAGGACTTGAGTGTTTTGCGTGCTCAATTCTGTGAACTGTTCTTACTCAGTAGCCTTGTGCCTGACCCCCAAAAGTTAAGGAAGCATGTCCATATGGGTGAATGAGGCTGCAGCAACAACAGCATTCCCCGTAGTTAGCACCCCTATTTTTCAAGATGATGGTCCATCAGTGTGACATGGATTCTTTTTATCCGTTATCATTGTTGATGTGGAAGTGAACTCTGGCCAGCCATATCACATTGTTTTGGACTTCCCTTTGGCATTCTTTGAGAGTGGCACTTACTGATCTCATGGCCTGTGTGTCCAGCGCAGTGGGCTGGGGTCTGGTCCTGGCTCTGTCACTAGCTGGCCTGTGAATCCTGCATATAAAGTTTGTTCTTTAACTGTGAGAGGGAGAACTGAGCCCATCTCATCCTCTCTACAGCTCCAGTCTGCTTCTGGAGCCTGAATGATCAAGATACACTAGTCCTTGCTGTAGGAAGCTGCCAGTCTGTCTTATAAGGAGTTAGAAGATGGATGGGCCTATATTCTGTCATAACAGTTCCTCTCCCTGATTTAGAGTTGTATCCCCAAGGTATCTTCATTCTATAGATGGCATGGGAGAAGGCAGGAAATCCTGACTGGAAATCGGAACAGCTGTGCTCCTGCTAGGGTACCAATAGCAGAGTGAGCCAGTCACTCAAGCTTTGCCAGTTGGTGTCTTCGCTTAGAGAAGGGGAGTCTGTGTAGCTCGCAGGGTTACTCTGGGAGCCCCGATAGCATGCATGGTAGTACTTTGCTGCACTCACAGTGATAGACAGCTATAGAAGATGATTGGGGATTATCCTCACGAGGGAAGACGCCTGGATCATTTCTTCTCTGTAAGCTACAAGGAAGTTGCTTGATTGTCATAGACTGTCTCTTTCTTAACTCTCTTCACACTGCTGCACCACCCTCATTACACCTCTTAGAGGCTCATGTTAGAACCGGGGTGGAGGTCAGGCCCCAGCCTTGTCTGCCGTAGGGAAAAGTCCCTAGGGATCAAGCGTCAGAGTAGGTGGGGACAACTCGGGCAGGCGTGAGACCCATGAGTGCTCCTGGCCTTCCTTGCAGACATCTTCCCACAGCCGGACCTGACCGACGATGGGCTGGCCCGGCCAGTGTTGGCTGGGATAGTGGCCACCATCTGCTTCCTGGCGGCTGCCATCCTCTTCAGCACTCTGGCCGCCTGCTTTGTCAACAAGCAGCGCAAGCGCAAACTCAAGCGGAAGAAAGGTAGGTGTTTGTCCTTCTGCCCGGGCCTGGCTGAGGTCGGACGTTCTCTAGCGGGAGGCAGGCAAACCACCTGTAGTGTTTCTCCTCTGGAAAAAGGGGCACGGGGAGCTTGCAGGCAGAGCTGTTGGTGAGATTGGAGTTTTAAAATATTTTTGTTCATTTCTGGAAAATTCTATATACCTATTATCTCCCCCTCACCCCCCAACACCTACCTCCAGCTCCCTCCAGGACCCACCAACCCAGCTCCATCCCCACTTCATGTCCTCTATTATTATTATTATTGTTGTTGTTGTTGTTATTTTGACAGAGAGCCCAGGCTGACTTCAAACTCAAGATTCTCTTGCCTCGGCCTCCCAAATACTTAGATTATAGGCATGTGCCTCCATGCCCAGTGGGACTTGATTTGAAAGGGGGAAGAGGAGAGCAAGGGTATTGGAGAGAAGAGAATGGGCCAGGGCTACAGGGAGAGAGGGCCTCTGAGCTGAGCAGAGAACTACCAGGCAAGCGAAGGCTTTCCCTCTGTGACTATACATCAGGCCTCTCTGTGGGTCCTGGGGGAGAGGGTACCAGTTTTGGTTTTTGTTTTGTGGGCTCAGGTCTCTTCCTTTTGTTTTCTTTCCAGATCCTCCGCTGTCCATCACTCACTGTAGGAAGAGTCTTGAGTCTCCGTGAGTATCTCTGGCTGTTGGGGGTCTGTAGGTAGACGGGGGAGGCTGGACATAGGTAGGTAAACTACGAGTTTTAGTTGGCCCCATTTCCCTTAGATGTTTCGTGTTTATGGGTGGGCATGTCACTTTTAAGTTGTCCACATGGATTGAGGGAGTGTAGTCTAGACGATCCAAGCTGGTAACTTATTCGTTTCGCCTTGCAGTGTTTTGTGCTTTGCCTGGCTAGAGTCGGTGTTAATATTAGCTTGCATTTCTTGAACAACTAGGGAACAAAACTGGAGTTGTGCATAGGCAGGGTGTACCAAATTTAGGGGCTGGCCAGAAGAAAAGTGGCAATGTGGGTGTTCATTCCAAAAATGGATGATACGTGTCTAGACAATTGAGAGAGTTGGCCAGAGTTTCTGACCAAAATATTCAGCCCATCCATCCACGCCTGTTCCCTTTAGAGTCAGTGTCAACGAGAAGAAGCTGTAGGCTGTGTACAGCACCCCTCGTCACCTTCTGTGCCTTTCACTTATAGCTTGTCCTCTGGCAAGGTGAGTCCTGAGAGCATCCGCACACTCCGTGCCCCATCTGAATCCTCTGACGACCAGGGCCAGCCCGCAGCCAAGAGGATGCTGAGCCCCACGAGGGAGAAAGAGCTGTCCTTGTACAAAAAGACCAAGAGGGCGATCAGCAGCAGGAAGTATAGTGTGGCCAAGGCTGAGGCCGAGGCTGAGGCCACCACGCCCATTGAGCTGATCAGTCGAGGCCCCGATGGCCGCTTTGTCATGGGCCCCTCTGAGATGGAGCCCCCGGTGAAGGGCCGGCGGATCGAGGGCTTTCCCTTTGCAGAGGAGACGGACATGTACCCTGAGTTCCGGCAGTCGGATGAGGAGAATGAAGACACCCTGGTGCCCACATCTGTGGCTGCTCTGAAGCCCCAACTGACCCCTATGTCTTCCAGCCAGGAATCTTACCTGCCACCACCAGCATACAGCCCTCGGTTCCAGCCTCGTGGCCTGGAGGGCCCCAGTGGACTGGGAGGACGACTTCAGGCTACTGGCCAAGCGAGGCCCCCTGCCCCTCGGCCCTTCCACCACGGCCAGTATTATGGGTACCTGAGCAGCAGCAGCCCCGGGGAGGTGGAGCCTCCACCCTTCTATATGCCAGAAGTGGGCAGCCCCTTGAGCTCAGTCATGTCTTCCCCACCCCTGCACACCGAGGGGCCTTTCGGCCACCCCACCATCCCTGAGGAAAATGGAGAGAACGCTTCCAACAGCACTTTGCCCTTGACTCAGACACCTACAGGAGGGCGCTCCCCTGAGCCCTGGGGCCGGCCAGAATTTCCCTTTGGGGGACTGGAGACCCCAGCCATGATGTTCCCCCATCAGCTGCACCCCTGTGATGTGTCCGAGAGTTTGCAGCCCAAGGCCTGCCTGCCCCGAGGACTGCCCCCAACCCCCCTCCAGGTGCCTGCAGCCTATCCAGGCATGCTATCTCTGGAGGCGCCAAAGGGCTGGGTAGGCAAGTCACCCGGCAGGGGCCCCATTCCGGCGCCCCCTGCGACCAAGTGGCAGGACAGACCTATGCAACCTCTGGTCAGCCAAGGGCAGCTAAGACATACCAGCCAAGGTATGGGGATACCGGTGTTGCCTTACCCCGAGCCAACTGAGCCCGGGGGGCACGGTGGCCCCAGCACATTTGGCCTGGACACCCGGTGGTATGAGCCCCAGCCCCGGCCCCGGCCCAGCCCCCGGCAGGCCCGGCGTGCCGAGCCCAGTTTACATCAAGTGGTGCTACAGCCCTCCCGGCTCTCACCTCTGACCCAAAGCCCCCTCAGTTCCCGTACTGGCTCCCCTGAACTTGCTGCTCGCGCCCGACCTCGACCAGGCCTACTGCAGCAGGCTGAGATGTCAGAGATCACCCTACAGCCGCCAGCCGCTGTCAGCTTCTCTCGCAAGTCCACGCCGTCCACTGGATCTCCTTCACAGAGCAGCCGCAGTGGGAGCCCCAGCTACAGGCCCACCATGGGCTTCACTACTCTGGCCACAGGCTACCCTTCTCCTCCACCTGGCCCTGCCCCTCCTGCACCAGGGGACAACTTGGATGTGTTTGGACAGACGCCTTCCCCTCGCAGAATGGGGGAGGAGCCACTCCGGCCAGAGCCCCCAACAACCTTACCTAGTTCAGGGTGAGTGTAAAACCACTGTCTCTGGCCTGCTTCTGGTCAAGCTCCCCAGGCCTTACTCTGTCCCCTACCTCCCCAGCATCCCAACAACAGGCTTTGTTTGGGACACACTGCATCACCCCTGGGAGAGGAGCTCTGGCCACACATTGGCAGTGTCTTCGCTTGGGACTGATGGGCTTACCTGCTGGTACCCTGCCAGGAGCTTCATGAGTGGCCTCACCCAGCCCAGAGTTCGGTGAAGGCTCTCGGTGTATCAGGAATGTGGGGGAGGGAAAGGGGACAGTAGAACAGGCAGCGATGACTGTGAATGCTGCCCTTGAGGTGGAGGCGGACCACATCCCTGCGATCTTGGTGTTGGGTAGTGGCGGTTCTCTGCAGTTGCCTACAGATCTCGTGTCTGAGTCTCCTCTTCACTCTGCACCAAGCAGGGGCCACTGCGCAGGGGCCCCTTAGCATGCCCAGTAAGTGCTGAACTCCAGGTCATCCATAGTCTCTCCAGGAAGGTACCCCTGGAGGCTGAAAGCAAGCTCAGACCTCTGTGTGTGTGTGTGTGGGGGGGGGGGGGGGAGTCATATCCCCACCCACCTGTGTGCCTCACAGGAAGCTACAGAGGGACAGACAGACAGACAAGCTCCCGAGATCTGCCCGTCTGAGAGAGCACACTCTGTACTGTAGCAGCTGGTAGTCCAGGTACCAGTCGGCCTGGACGCCTGTCTGTACCTCTTCATCTGTCCACCTGCCCTCCTCCCTTCCTCCTGGCCTTTGTTCCTTTTCAAGGCAGTCTGTCTTCCTCTTTTCCTTCTCCGTGGCCTTGAGGTTGACCCGATTTGCTCTGAAGAGTCTGCCATGCCTCTGCTGTGCCCACCCTACCCCCTTCCCTTGCCTTTACCCTCATCCTTTCTCCCCTCTCTTTCTCGCTCTTCCTCTTGGGTTCAGTACTTCCGTCTCTCTTGATGTAGAGAAGGCTGTCCTGCTGGTGGGGGGATGGGAGGTAGCTGGAAGAGGAGGGAGCCCAGCCCTCCCCCTCCCACCATTCTGGTCGCTGGAAACTGCAAGCTTACCTCCGCACCAAGGTGGGCGCGCCTGGTGGGCAGGCTGTGTGGGGATCCGAGAGGCTAGCTAGGGTGCCCGCCTCTGTCTGCAGGAGTCGCTGTCGTCATTCCCTGTCTGTGCCTCGTACAGCCCGCTCACCGTCTCTGTTCCATCATGCCTTTGGTTCTCTGGCTCTCTCTTCTCCCTCACCCATTCTCCGGCCTCGCCTGTGGGTCTCTGCTCGCTGTGCCCCCTTCCTCCCCTCTGGGTGTGCGTGGGTGGTTCACCTGGCCGGTGTTGGTAACTGCTTTGTTTCTGATTATCTCAGCTATCTGGGCAGTGTTGTCGAGACAAGCCTCTCCTCAGCTCAATAGGTAAGGGAGCTCATCGGCGGGGCGGGGCGGGGTGGGCAGGTGGATGGGGCTTCAGCAGGGCCATTGCTTCTGTAAGAGGGGATCCAGAAACACATCCCCTCATTGCCTTACCTGGGCAGCTGCTGCTCCTGGGTTCCCATGGCTTCTGGGTTCCCCACATCGCACTGCTCTGCTGCTCCAGCTGCCCAGCCGGCCATGCCGGGGCACTGCCTAGCTGTAGCTTTTAACTTCCAAGCCCACACCCACCTTTCCAGAACGGGACGCAGCTGTTCTCACTCAGACCCTTGCCATCCTGCTGCCAACACCCACATAGACCCCTCACGGCAGCTGCAGGACCCTGCATGAACCCCAAAGGACCTGGAATTTCCACGATCAGCTTTGCATCTCTACCCTTGGGGACCTGTTTGGGTCCATCAAGGGATCCAGGGCCCTCTCATCCTCTCTACCCCACTGCTCAATTTCCCCAGCAGACTCAGGGATAGTGTCCTCCTGCCAACCCCTCCCCCTAAACTCAGAGCTTTTCCTGGGTTTTTTTTTTCCCCCTTCCTGGGGCTCTTAATGATAGAGATCCCTCTTCCACATCCGTCTGGGTCCTCAGGGTCAGGTGCCTTCCAGGTCTTCGGAAGCGGGGAAGTATACCACTCCTATGCTCCTTGCATTTCGCAACCCTTTCACGGTTGTTCCCGGACTGAAATGTGACCTCGTCCTTAGAGCCACATTGCTTTCAGGGCCCCTGTAGAGGCTTTGCTGGCCTCCTTGGGTCATGTTCTTGGGAAAAGGCCTGGGGAGAACTCATGCCAGGGAGAAGGGAGTTGAGCTGGCAAAAAAAAAAAAAAAAAAAAAAACCCTGAAAACCCAAGAGATCAGCACCACAGTGCCCTCCCCTGCTGCGACTGGCTCCTCTAGCATCCTTCCAGGTGGAATCCAAAAGAAGGGGCTCCCAGTGAAGGAGACAGGTATCTCTTCAAGATGCTCGGGACACTCAGCTCCCTCTCTGTCAAGGCAACCTAAAGAGATGCTTGTTTTTTTACACATGCTCCATTGCCCATGCTGTAGAAATGGCAAGCTGCACCAGGCTCCTGGGTGGGAGGGAGGGAGGGACTCTTCCCTCCTCACACACGCCATGGCAGGCTGCTCTTCACAACTTAGGACTATAAATCTCATTGTGTCATCAGAGAGGCCTCCCATAAAGAGATTGCAGGGATGTTTCTTTATGACCCGCAGCTATAAAACTGTCAGTCAGTATCCCAGGCCCTAAATGTCAGCCTGTAGCCACCCCTGTTGGCAGGATCTTATAGTGCTTGGGAGCTCACCTGCTTCCAGGGCCTCCTGGATGGATGCTACAGAGTGGGGAGAATGATTAGCTTCCCTGCCCCATGCCTATCCTCCCCACTATTCCCTGGCATAGTTCCTTTGTTGCCCCTGAGGTTTGGCAGCCCTATGGCAGCTCTTACCCAGTTCCTGGAAATTAGACAGACTTTCCTGTCATCTGTGATTTCCAGTCCCACCCCCACCCCCGCACCTGACCCCCTTTCCCCCCCACAACTCCACTGACCCTGTCTTCATCATGTCAGATCTGAGAGAACCCAGCCACATTATCGCTGTGGCAAAACCCAGAATCCAGGGGCAGCAGTGAGGGACGGTTGTTCCTCTCCCGGGCCTGGCTAGCATCCCCAGCCCAGAAGAATGAAGTCCTGGACATGATCCGAGTTAGGCCTTTGTGGTGCTAGGCAACAGGAACCTCTGCTCATCCTCCTGCTTGCTGAAAGAGTCCCTGGGGCACAGGAGCTGCTGGGCCATGGGGAAGCGAGCGGTGGCTCCTCTCTAGAGGCTGTCTTCATGCTGTGCCTTTGCATGTGTCCCCCTGGTCTTGCTTGGAGAAGTTGTGATGCTTCTTGTCTGCACTTGTCCTTGCTTTGTTTCTCTCCCCTCAGTTTCTGTCCTTTCCTCCTGTTCATCCCTGTTGCTATTCCCCCACCCTGCCCTCTCTATCCTCGTCCCAGCTCCTATCTCAGTATGCGGGTCTATTCTTCCGTGGGTCACTGGGGGCCCAGCCACTTACTCAGTGTCCCTCTGATGCTGCTGATGCTCAGATGTTCCATCTCTGTCGAGTTCCATTTCCCCTTACGACCTACTGTGCCCTCTGTCAGGGACCTGGAAAGCCTAACCTGATCCCCGTTTATTTAGGTGTATTCTAAGAAGGAGTCCCCATTTGGATACAAGTGAGTCCTGAGTCCTGAGGCAGAACACTGGGTCTGCACCCTGACCCCCACCAGAGGGAGATCCCTTTGTGATTGGGCTGGCATGATGCTGGCTTGTGAGTTGCTGGCTGTCTCTGGGGTACACAGAGAATACTTTCACCTTTTCTCTGGCTGTTATATGTGCTTGAGTAGATTTCCCTGTCCCTTGACCCGTGATGACAGGAGGCAGCCTCCAAGCTACTTCTTTCTGCCTATTATCTGGGGGAGTCATGGAGAACTGTGTTGCTCTAATTTCCTTTTCTGTTACTATGATAAACACCGTAACCAAAAGCAACTTTGGGGAGGAAAGGGTTTATTTGGCTTACAGATGCATCATTCAGGGAAGTCAGGTCAAAAGTTCAAGGGAGGAACCTGGAGTCAGGAACAGAAGCAGAGACCATGGCGGGACACTGCTTACTGGCTTGCTCCCAGGCTTATGTTCGATGACCTTTCTTATAAAGGCCAGGCCTACCTGCCTAGGAATGGTACCGCCCACAGTGGCTACACCCTCCCACATGTAGCAATCAAGAAAATGCTCTGCATACATGCTGACAGGCCAGTCTAATGGAAGCAGTTCTTAAGCTGAGGCTCCCAGGCATGTCAAGAATTGCTGTCTTATGTGTCTTAGTGGTCAGTTCTTAGGGCACTAAAGCAAGGAAATGGCCAGCTGGATTTTGACTTTCCTGGCCTAAGGTTTTCCTATGTTGTAAATCTGCTACCTCTTTTCTTAGTGGCTCTAGGGAGCAGGGTGCTAGGCAGATAAGACCTCTTGGGTTGAATGGGTGGGATGGGAATTTTGTGTCAACTGGCATGGGGGTGGATTTTAAAGTACATGTTGGCAATTTTTGGTAATCCTGAGCTGCAAGGAACACTACCGGATCACAGAACTGGAATTTACATGTAATGTGAGACCAGTAAAGCTCATAGGTTTGGAGGCCTTTGTCTGTCAGCAGTATATCAGGTCATCTCCTGGGACAAGGGGACCTGAAGTGTGCAGTATTCCTCTATGTGAAGAAAAGTCGAGACTGGCCAGAAGGAGAACAGAGCCTCGCCTTGGGAGACCAGGGTTGGAGTCTGTCGTAACCACCTCACCGACAGGTCAAGTCAGGTTTATTACAGAGTTACGCGTCCTTCATCCTGATTCCTATCCCAGACACCAACGCCAAAAGTTTCAAAGGTCGAGGAGGGTTTCCAGGTAGACTTGGTATTGACATGAGACACAGTTATCCTTCCTAAAACTGGGAGGCAGGTTGATAACCAGAGGACTCTCGGCGCTGTTCTTAAAGTGTACTGGGAAATGTTTCATGTCTTTTCTGTATAGCTCACTCAAAACAGATGCATTATGTCTGCCCTTTTCTTCCCACCTGTCCTACTAAAGACTTGCTTTTATTTTTGCCTCTGGCATTACGCAAGCATATCCTGGTGCCTCCAGGGGACATTGTCTGCTGTGTTGCTGTGTCTGCGTCCTGAGCCAGGAGCTCACACAGGTGGGCAGCAGGTATCTTGGAAGGTCTGGAGCTTGGCTGCTTCTCAAGTGAAAATTGGTTTCTTTTCTCCAAGTGCCATTGTTGTTTGGGAGTTTGTGCCTGAAGATGAAACTTTAGCAGTTTGCCCTGTCCCTGGTCTGTCTTATTCTGTCACACTGAAGCAGAGGGTGGCATCGGTCAGTGGACCGCAGAGCAGGCAGGGGAGCAGGGAAGCTCTGCTATGTCTATTGTAGCCTCTGTACCCATTTTACTGGGAAGAAATTTAAAGAGCAGGTTAGCCTAATACTGAAGAGTCTGTCTGATGGATTATGTCTGGCTAAGTTACTCTCTTTTCTAAAGTTGACCTCCTTCATCTAGAATATGGCTAATGTAGTCTTCACCTCTTAGACTCATTACAGACATGGTAAGTGGTAAGCACACATTATATAATACAGGTGATAATAGTAATAATATGTTAATTCTGCTATTGGTATCCCACCCCCTGAAAATTTCACCTACCTTGAAGAATCATTGGGAATTTTCAGGGTGACTCTGTTCCAGCTTCTTGTATAGCCTGTGCCCTGACCCCACCACCAAGGGATCTCTCTGTGGTTGGCTGGGTCGGCACTGGCTGTTGAACTCATGGCTATGTACGGAGCACATGGAAAGCGGTTTCACCTTTTCCTTGGCTATCATGTGTTAGTAGATTGTTTTTCCCATCCTACGGTCCACACAGTAGGGAGACGCAGCTCCCATGCTGCTTCTGCCTATTGGCTAGGGAATAAGGGAGAACGGTGCTGCCACTGTGGGTCATGGAGAATTGTGTCAGGGAGCGCTGTTCCTGCCTGTCACCTGTTTCCTCTGACTATGTATCTCACCTCACATGGCCTTTTGAATACTGGCCATGATCTGGATTAGAGATGGCAAATGGTGGAGTCATGTCTTTGATTTTCCTTTCAGGCAACACAAAGAACATTGTCTAAACTGAGAAGGGGTAATGCAGGCTCCCTCCCAAATCCCTTCCAGCTGCAGCTTTTGGGGAAGATCTCTGGGTAGAACTGGGTTGGGAGAAGGGAGAGGGATTGGGCCCTGGCGTATTGGGTCTTTGTGGGGGCCTTGCTTACCCTGTGAACTAGATCCCTTTTCCATGGGGCGTGGGTACCTGTGTGATGTGTAGTGATACAGTGGGGGGCTTTGGAATGTTAAGGAGTTGCCTCTGACTTGAACTTGAGAGTGTTTCTTGATCCTCAATGCACTAAAAGACTTTGGAACAAATGGCATCCATCAAGGAAGATGGAGGTTCCTTCACTGCCAGTTACTTCCAGAGACCAGAGGCTTACCTACCACAAGTCTGTAAGTTTCTTCTTCCCAGTGCTTGTAGAGGCCTTCCATGTTGGAGAAATGCTGTCTTTTCATCCCTTTCTCTTTGCCGCCCCCTCACTCTCCCTTGCTACCTCAGATAGCTTGTGGACCCTTGAGGACTTCTTTGGCTCTCACAGGACTATCAGGTTGTCTTTTTTTTTAAAATCAGGATTTGCTAAAACCTCACTGTGATGGACGTGGGGAAGGGAGATGTGGTGCTTGGAGACTAAAGAGTCACCTTTGTCTACCATAGCCCTGGAATGTCCCTGCCTTTCCTGATCTCATTCCAATACCAGTGTTTGTGGGAAGAAAGCATGCCCCGCCCTTCTCTTGCCCTCTTTGTTCCTCAGGCTCCAAGTTGTCTTACTTTAAGAAAAACTGAGATTGATAACATGTCTTCTCCATTTTCGTCTTTTATGACTCTTGGGAAAAGCTCTTTCTATAGGCACAGTGTCTCATACTATTCTCCTTTCTGTTTGCTTTGGTTCTCTTTGTGACCTAGGTTGCACAGGCTCTGGTTAAATGGCTGACTTGATCCATCCCATAACTGGGGTGGAGAAAGAAGGGTCAATATGTAGGAGTCTCCTCTCTCAACAATCTTAACATTTAGGTTGAATCTTAAGACACAGAGCTCGCTGGAGTCTCCTCTCTCAACAATCTCAACATTTAGGTTGAATCTTAAGATACAGAACTCGCTGGAGACCAGTCACACACAGCGAGGACTTTGTGAGGCCGTAAGATTTGAACACTCGGCCCTGTCATAATCTACATCTACTCTCTTCTATATTTTCTTATGAGACTGAGGAAGTCTGAGCCTAGTCTGCAGAGTGTCATGCGGACATGCCTGCTGAAGATGGTGGTGTGCCACAGCAGTTAGCTGTGAGGTTCTAGATGAATCTTGCAGACGGAGGGCGTAGCTCTGTGAAGCTGGGTTCTGCAGAGCCCACACCTCACTGGCTACTTGCCCCTTCCTGTCTCTGCAGATGGGAGGCAGCTTGCTGGGACTGGATTTGCTCACCTCCTCCTGCTTTAATCTGCTCTTCACTTTTTACTTAAAGGTCTTGATGATGGTGAGTTCTAGGAACCGACTCTTCTCTGGCACTTGCTTATCCCAGCCTAAGTGATGTGTGGTGGGCTTACATTAAAGTCTCTCTCTCCTTTCCTAGGGTCTTCCGATTGCTCCACAGGTTGCTTTCCACCTGAGCTAGGCCTCCTGCTGCTGGAGCTTTCTCTCGGGTTCTCTCCTTTCCAGGAGCAGTAGGAAGGCAAGTGTCCGGGAATGATCGTGGACAGCCCGGACTCCATCCCTGTGCTCCATCCTTCAATGGGCAGCCTTTTGGCTTTCTTCCAGCCCTCTTCAAAGGCTCCTTTCTGGGAGCTGACCTGTGCCTCTCTAATTGTTCCTTGCAGAATACTTCCACCTGCATCCGGGAACGCTGCTGTGCCTGAGAGGCTGGAGGCTCTGAGATACCAACGGATAAAGAAGCCCAAAAAGTCATCCAAGGGCTCTTCGAAGTCAAAGAAACGATCCGGTAAATGGTGGGAAGTACCGCTCCTCTTTCCACCGTGCTTGTCCCATTTGACGAGGATTGTGGGCCCAGGATCCCAACCTTGGGTGTTCTCTAGAAGTGAAGCCAGCTTCTCTTGTTCTTGATTTCCTTTTAAACATTCGTTTTCAATAATGCACCCATGATTTTCATATAAAAACACAAGAAAGATATCTGATTGCCTTCCCTTCCCCGTTCATTTCCTCCCACCTGGGGAGCCATTGCTCTGAGAGTATGTGTGCCTGTAGAGACTTTTCTGTATTCACAGCTTTAGAAAGGGCTCCATATTGTTTCAGTGTGTTTTTGAGCAATGTAAGTAGTGTCCTATTTCCCATTCTACAGCACACCTTGCTGTTATCCCTGTCTCCTTGTATGGTTCTCCGTCACTGTTTCAAGCCCTCTAGTTGAACACAGGCAGGCGTGATAGAGCTTAGGGTCATGTGGCATGGGCCAGTCTCTGTGTTGACTAACCTTTTCTAAGAAGAGAGAGTGAAATCGCATTGTCTCCTAAAGGGCACTTCCACTGAAATATAGTTGATGCATATCCAGCAGTGATGGGTTGCTTGTGAAATCGTGCAAAAAGAATTGATCGTTCATTTAGAAAAGCAGTTGATGTTTATTAGATATTCTCTTTGTATCAATGCTTATAGGAATGTTATGACAGCCTGTCCAGGAAGAATGTTCAGCAGTTTCTTTGCAGATCTTTGATGACTACTGTAGAGTAACTGTCTTAATAAGCCAGGTGTGGGAAAATGTCCCAGAGAGGCCAAGAACTCATTGATGACTTAGCCTTTGGATGTGGCCAGTTTCCTATCAGTTTGTTGATGGCAACACAAAGGCAGAAAAAAAGAAAATTATCTTGTCGTCTTGAGACGGAGTCTGGTTAGATAGCTCAGGCTGGCCTGAAACTAGCTGTGTAGCCTAGGCTGGCCCTGAACTTTTGGTCTTCTTGCAATCCTTTGATAGCTAGGATTATAGGTGTGTGCTGCCATGTTCAGCAAAAATGAATTTTCTGAGGCTTGGGTCAGGATTGAATTGAAAGCTGAACTTAAACTCATTCAATTTAAACATATACACAACATACATATATATTCCTTTTGTGTGTGGGCGTGTTCATCATTTAGTGATAGGAATACATTCTGAGAAAGGCACTGTTAATGATTTGGGTACTGTGTGACCAGCACAGACTATGCCTATATTAACCCGACAGTCACTATGTAATACAGTCTATGGGACTGTTATTGAATATGTGATCTGTTCTCCATTAAAATATTGTTGTGAAGTGCACAACTGTCCATTTTAATAAATAAGTGTCACCTAATTATTGTAAAATAGGCCACATCAGCTGTACATGTTCTCACTTGTGCCTGCTTTGTGTTAATAGCTCTCTGGTGTCTGCCTTTAGCCCAGGTGTCTTCTCTGACACCTTCTCTGACATCTTATATTTCCGGTTGGCCATTGAACCTCTTCCAGTTCCCTTTAGTTTGTAAATGCTGCATTTATGCTCCGCTTCTCCCTGGACTCTTTCGCCCTCATGGCTCACATCTGATCCTTTTGGTGAGGTGTGTTGGGTCAACCTTTGCAATGTTTCTGACCTTCTTTGGTTGTCCTCACTGCAAAAATGGAAACTCCAGTCCCTTCCTCTCCTTTCTGGACTGCTGCAGTACCTGGCAGTTGCCCTCCTGCTCCATCTACAGTCTTACAGTATCCCATAGAGGTGACACCCTGAACCCTTACCTAGGGAGACAGCCCTCGCTCACTGATCACTTTGCCTTTGGGGTTGGCTGGTTTCCTATCAGTCTGTGAATGGGAATACTGAAGCAGTGAAAAAGAAAATTATTTTTGTTACTGTTTTGAGACAAGATCTCACTGTACAGTTCAGGCTGTCCTGAAACTAGCCAGGTCTGGTCTTGAACTTTCAATCCTCTCGCTTCCACCTGAGTGAGCTCTAGCTCTCTTTTTTTTAACATGTGTGTTTATAGACACACATGTATACACACACACACACACACACACACACACACACACACACACTCACACAAAAATCTTCTAGAAGCTTTTCCTTGAGTCAAGTAGAAGTTTTAAACTCTGTTAGCATAACTGCCATCTTTCTCTCTCTAGAGCATACTGTTGGTTCTTCTTCTTCTTCCTCCTCCTCTTCTTCTGCTTCTGCTTCTTTTCCTCCTCTTCTTCCGCTTCCTCCTTCTTCTTGTTCTTCCTTGTTCCTCCTCCTTTTCCTTTTTAAAAGGCAGGGTCCCACTCTATAGCCCAGTGGCCTCAAACTCCTAATCTTATTGCCTCAGTCTCCCAAGTATGGGGATTATAAATGTATCCCGCTATACTGGCTTACACCCGCTCTCAACTTTGGGTTTCTGCACTGGCTGTTCTTATGATGGTAGCCATTTTCATTACTCTCTGGGGAAGACTCCTGGTTCAAGACTCCAGCCAGATATTAATACTTGGGGAAACAGAAGCAGGGCCCTGGCCGTTGCCACATTCCTATTACATCTTTCTTTGCTATTGTACTTGCAACACCTAAGAATCCAGTTTCTGTGTCTTTCAAGTCTTGACCGTTTGTCTCTTCCTCCCTACCGCCCTGCTGAAGTAGAATCTAGAGAACAAAACCTCCCCACCGTATCCTCAGAAGGACAATGAGGCAGAGGAATGGCCCTGGCAGTGGTAGAGGTGTGCGGGCCTGACTGTCGCTCATGATTGAAGTCTCAAGTCTCGTGTAATGTCTGTCATTGTTTGGCGTAGATGATAAAGATATATTGAAGCCCTGCTTCCTGCCACCTCGGAGGATAACTGGTATCCAAGAGGCACAGCAGAGCACAGCCAGCTGACATTTGTAGACTGATGGCTGAAACAGCTTGATCGTTGAGATCCAAGAGTTCATAGAAGGGAAAGTACCTACCTTACTTCGTTGACTCAAGGCTGGGTTGCTGGTTGCTCCAGTGGGGAAAGAGAAGGTTCTCTGTGGCGGTTTGGTCTCAGAGCCGCGCACACACACACAGGTGCTCCCTCGGTTTCAGTGGCAACTTGGACGTCAGCCCTGGGAGATGCATGGAGTGTGTGAGGATCTGACCCACCTTTTCATGCCTCTCCTTTTGTGTGTCTGTCTCCTTCTCTGTAGACGGTTCTGCCTCCCAGGCTCAGCAGCTTCCCAACTCTCAGGTTCTGTGGCCCGACGAAGCTGTCTGCCTCCGAAAGAAGAAGAGACACTCTCGTCCTGACCCCTTTGCCCGGCTTTCGGACTTGTACCACCGTCAGCTTCCAGAAGACCAGACGGCGATCCTCAACAGCGTGGATCATGATGACCCAGGCCACGCTACTCTGCTATGACTTGACGTCTCTCTAAGTGTCCCCAGGGAGGGGTGCTAGGCTAAGGGGGCAGAGAGGGACCACTGTACAGGGCCTTGTCCTCCTCTGCCCATCATGGGATGACTCAGGCCCTTGTCCTATGTGTGTTCCCTCCTGCCAGTGGGCCTCTCCCTCACGATCTCGCTGGCTAGCCTTGCCCACAGGACAGAGGACTGGGGGAAGAGCTTTTACCTGTGGGTCAGTTGGGAGTGTATGAGGACAGCGAACATCTGTCTCAACACTGCCTCTCCCACTTCACTAGATTCTTCTCACCTCTTCAAATGTCTTAGGAAGTGAAGAAGAGGAAATCAATGGCTTTTCCTACTCTGCGTTTGTTTCTGTTTTCCAAGTCCTGGGAGGGGGTTAGAATTACATCCTGTCCTCCAAACTCCACATATATATAGATATAGATACAAATACACTTGTGTGTAGTTGGTGGGTTTCTCTATGTGTATATATATGTACATTGAAGCAAAGTACTGTTTCTCCCTGTGCTCGGTAAAGGACTGAGGAAGGTACTGAACAGTTGGACTTGGTGAGCAGGGCGGGCTGTGGGCTGGTGGGTGCCCTCATGTCTGTCTTGGGAGGAGATCATTCCAGCTGAAGCAGGATTCATGCCTCTCAGCTGACTTCACCATTGTTCTAACCTTTACCATCTAGAGCAGAAATGGGACCTTGCCATGATTCCTAGCTCCCTGCTTGCGGGGGTTAGCAACAAGTTACCCCTGAACTAAACCCAAGCCTTTATTGCCTGCTTGCTGGGTCAGGCTCAAGGCCAGACTGGCATCTTCCTTTCTTCTGCAGTTTGGCACTCACCATACAAGTAGTGGTGGTTTAGCCGCAGGGCTGACAGGCAGGCCTGGTGTACAGCCCCGTTCGTGTGGTCATGCGTCGGTCTCTTCTGGTCCAGCCAGGGCTAGGAGCCCTGCAGTGAAAGGCCCTCCTGTTCAGTAGCCACCTGTGCTGAGCACCAAGCTGCCACAGCTCTATTTATACCCAGCTTGGCTCTGAACTCAGAGCACTGCTCCCCCGCGGCCCGTTGGCTCCTCCTTTCCTTTTGTGTCTGCTAATTCTCCAGATTGATTAATTGCCGTTTGTGGGGGCTGCCTGTGGCTCCTTGGCATACCCTCCATGTGCTGCCTGCCCACTCTGCTTTGCTCCGGGGTCCTTCTCCACCCCCTGGACCCAATCTCCAGTGCATGGATGAAGAAGTGAGGGTACCTCAGATGACTGAGTTCTGGGCTGCTTTTTCCTCACTGCTCCTATGTGGCGCTGGCTGAGGCACAGGAATGATGTTGGAAGGAGCGGTGGGCAGGCACCAGGGCCCTAATCCTTTCTCTGTACAAATCCCTGGTTCAAACTGTTAGTGCTTGGAAGTTTTCCTGATGCCATTTGTCAATTCAGATACTTCTCTCTCTCCTTGAAAGGTTATGGTGTTGCTCAAGAGTAGAAAAGGTGGAGAGTAGGCCCTCCCTCTCCTTCCCTCCTGCTTTGCCTAAAGTAGTGGTAACTGCCAGCTTCCTGGACGTATTCCTTCTTGGTGCTGCTGTATCCGTCTCTCCCCAGCGACCTCATCGGGCATTAGCCATGTCTACTGGAAGGCTTCTGCTGGTTCCACAGAAGCTGCCAGTCACTTGGCCTAGTGACTTTGATGAGGTCCCAGGGGCTAGGAAACTGACCTTTCTTAGCGCTTCCATCTTGGGGGATCCATTGCATCCCTGCAGCCAGGCCTTGGTGCTTCCTTCTCTCTCCCAGTGAGCTAGAGACGGACTCCATACTTGAGGCTTCACCACACAAGTCACACTAGCGCAGCATTCTTCCAGACATATGGGGAAAAGAGGTGCTTAGGGCAGAGTTTCTTTTGCTCTGAGATTAGGCCATGTACCTCAGACCATCCAACTGATGTGATTCTCAGAGGTGTTGGAGAGCACTTGACCTTTGGACCTCAACTCTGTCAAAATAGAAGAGTTGAGTTGGAAGACTCACGTCCTTTTTCAGAAGTGGGCCACTGCTTCTGCCACTGTGCCACAATGGGGTGCTCACTCAAGTGTCTCCTGGGGCTGTCGGGAACAAATCTACTTGAAATACTGGGGTAGTATTTGGAGGCTCACAGTGGCCTAGACTGTGGTCTTTGCCTGTTCTCTCACAGCACGTGTTTCCTGAACCATGGAGTATAAAAGTAGGTTGTTGGGGCTGGTAGACTTTGTACTGAATTTGGCCAAGTGTTCAGAGGGCCCTCCTGGGAATTCTGGCCCTGATACTGTCTGGGCCTTGAGGTTAGAACGGAGGGGAAGTTGAGGTGGAAGACTGCTTCTTTTGGATGTTGTATGGCCAAGAGCCAAACCTTGTGGGCTGAGATGCCTCAGTCCATGGCTAGGCTTGCAGGCTGGGCTTGCAGGCTGGGCTAACAAAGGTGCTGACTTCTTCCTTCCTCTTCTTGCCTCTGGCAGTGCCCCTTACCTCTGCCTAGCTGACCAAATGGTAGAAACTGCTTGTGACTGGCCACTGGGTGGCAGCTGTGCTATTTGTCCCCTGGACCAGAAGGGGCACAAGATCTATCCATTCCAAAGTGGCCTCTGATACATTCTTCTTGTGACTTTTCTTGGAGGGAGACCAGCAGCATTCCTGCACTTTGGGAAACTGTTTCAGTTCTTCCTTTGGTGGCTGCAAAGCAAATTGGCAGGATACAGTCCCCATGGTCAATGTGATTATCGGGGTGTCATAGGCACACACTCTCAAGTGCTGGATCTGGGCACATGTTTGACAGTCTGGTTAGAGGTGTGTGATGTTGGGGTGTATCCACTTTTAGGGACCAATGACCTTTACACTCTGCCCTTGAACTTGGCAGTGACCACTATGAGCTTCCTGGGGCTTTCACCCTCCTTGCTGTGGGAGATCATGTCTTCCAAAGCCTCCCTTTGCATCTGGTAGCCTTGCAGAAGTAACCCGGTTCAAAATCTAGTCCTGAACTCAATGTTTTTCCTACCTTTTCCTTCTGCACCTTGACTGGAAATGCTATCTCAGTGTTTAAACCACAATCCAGAAAGAGAGTTATGCTGGTTCTCTAAGGGGCCAGAAAGACTGCAATTTGGGAGAGGGAAGATGAAAACTAAGAAGTGAACTTCTTTATTCGGTGGCTGACCATACAGAGCTTCACTTCAAGGCTCTGAGTGGAATTCTGTGCATCCATGGTCATTGGTGGCTGTTGGTCCAGCACCTGATGCTGGTCCCTCTCTAATGGCCAGCCTAGCTTCTCCCCAGTTTTCTTAGAGGGACTAGGATAGGAGAGAAGAGGTCCTCAGAGATTCTTTCTCAGTGGAAAGGGTGTTGGATTACACAGTATGAGCAGGAGCAGTACTCCATCTCCACAGGCTTGGGTTATGCATTTGGGGGAGATTTCAGCAGGGTGGAGTAGAATAGTTACTTATTGACATTTTTTTTCCCAGTGTATTCTCTCTTGGTTTCTGCACAGTGATCTAAACTATTTGAGGTTGAACAGATTTTAGTTGTTCATTCTTCTGCCCTTTTTATACAGAGAGAACTGGGTAAGGTTGAGATGTGGGATTCCTTTCTCCCCCCCGCCCCCCCCCCCCGGGGAGGGGGTTGGTACATGCTAGTTTCAGGGAAGGCATCCCAGAACGATAGAGCGTCTTAGTTGCTTCCAAGGATCTGTATTTGAGGCTGAGGTGTGTGTAGCTTGAGCCAGTTCTTCTGATCTTGATAGCAAAATCCTTTAGAGGGCTTGGGGTGGGCTGGGAGAATTGTAGGTAAGGACATTTTATTACTATGTAGAGAACTCTAGGAATTGAAAAGCTAATGGCTTGGACTTGCTTTGCTTGCATGTAAAAGTGCTTTGGGGGGCACTGCAGGACTTGGGGGTAGGAGGATAGAATCAAGGGCAGAGATGGGGGCTATAGGGAGGTACCATTAATGCTTTCTCTGGGATCCTGAGCATTTCCACCTAGTGCTCATTGTCTTGGCCCTACCCTCTCTGCAGTCTCCAAGACAATGGAGGCTCAGAGTCTTGTGGATTACCTCTGTCTCTTTGGGAAGGGCCTCAGGAAGAGCCTAAGTCGCTAGTCTGCATTGGAGACAGTAGTTGATAGGGCAGGTGTGATTCAGGAAGAGAAGTTAGAGGGTTGGACCATGGAGAGAAGGCTTGATTGTGATCAGGTATGTGAGACCGAGAGGGATAGAGTATTAAATCCATTGTAGAGAGTACAGGAATCCTGGGATGACGGGGTTAAAGCCCAAATAAAGCACCAAGCTTCCACTTCTCTTTATGGGCACTCTGCTAGCCCAGATGACAGTGCAGATGGTTGGGGGCAGGTCCTCACAAGGAAATGAGTAACTGCCAGGGAGGGTCATGAGGAGCAGGTACCCCTGATGTGTGAAGGATGTAGCCACGGAGACCAGGTTGTGGGCAGGGCCTGGTAAGCAGGCCCAGACTGGATCTTGGAAGAACTCTTGCCTAAGGCAGGGCTTTTCTGCTTGTAGAACTGGCCTCTGACGCTGAGTGCCGAATAGAGACTTCTTCAGTGTTTTTTCTGTTTGTGGATCTTCTCCGGTGAACATTGGGAGACTGGCGTTCACATGCCACCAGTAACTGCTTTCCGGTGGGGAGGGAAGGTTAGATTTAGGAGCTTGGTGCCCATTCTCCTGGCAGCTGTGTCACACTGTGCTTCTTCTCGTCTGTGTCTGAAAATGCCCATTGGACACTGGTGCTGATGGTGGACAGGAGGTGGGGCCTCCGGACCTGTCAGTCTTTCTTGAGCGGTAGAGAATTTCTTCATCCTGGAGACTACACAGTGGCCTGGTGTCTAGAGGTCTTGCCTTCAATTTCTCTTCCTTTGATAGGTTACATTTACCGCACTGTAGCTAAGAGAGTGAAGTAATTTCATCTGAAATCAGAGACCATCTATTCTCTACTCCTTAATGTATCCAACTTCCTCTTGGATCAAGAGGAATAACGGAAAATTTCTTTAAGATAAATCGATAAACGAGAATCAAAGCTCTAGTTGGACTCTAGTAACTCTTACCAATTCATGCAACTTTGTATTTGCATGGAGCTGGCTTGTAACTATTTCACCTTTGATGCTGAATCAGCATGAGTCCAGAGCCTTATATCTGGGCCCCTGTCTGTACTTCCAAATAAGCCTTTCAGGAACAAATACACTGTCTACACCAGATGTTTGGTGTCTTGGATTGCCAAGAGGGTAGAATTCTTTTTCATGACCTCATTTAAAATAATAATAAGAATAAAAATCCCTAATCAATTGAGTCTGATCCAAAGACACTCCCAGATCATGGGGATTCCTGTGTAGATTAAAAAATAAATGCATTAGCGCAAACCTTTTTAATGGCTGGCCGTGCCTTAGGAGGGGAGAGTTGGGGTGTCCTAACTGCTAAGTAGTTGGGTAGATCAGCAGCCAGCCATTGAATCACTTGGACATTCTCTTCTGCAGTGGGTTGGTTGCAGCAGTTAGGGATTCTGAAGAGCACTGATGAACAGTGATCAGCTTTGGACCCCTGGTTAGGGAATTCAACCAAAGCATCACAAGGAACTCAGCTCGCAGTCAGGGCCATGACTACCTTTCCCACCCACCTTATCTAGACGGCAAGTGATTGACAGGGCTTGTTCTTCTGATTCCTGAGGAAATGGATCCCACCAATCCCGTCTCCCACTGGTATTGGATTTCCTGGGTCTGTTTCAGGAAGGAGAGCAAGCTCTCCCTCCACCCACGTTCTACCCTTCCAGCTCTGTTTCCTCCTTCTCCCCACTTGTGTGCGGCTCCAGGACCTCTGGCTTGTGCATGGTCTGCAATAGGGAGGTGGTTGGGTCGGGGAGAGAATTGGGGAGGGTGTAGGGGTTGGACTGGGGAAGGGAATTTGCATTTTCAACCTTAAAAATACTGTAAGCATGTTTTGGGGTGACCCGGGATTTTCACATAAACTATGGTTAGGGAAAATGCCTGATGCTCCTCCTATGGGAGGTGGGGACTTAGGGGGCATTTGGCTTCTTTTTGGCTTAGGGATCTATTTTATTTGGTAGAGGAGAATAAGCTTCCTCACAATCACCCTGCAAACCTTAGAAGGGAAACTCATTCTATCCCTGAGTATATTGCCTACTGAGAACAATTAAACAGTCTGTCACAGGTTGTCCTTGCCCTGGCTGGGTTGGAGAAATGGAATGATCACACGTGTTTCTCTGTAGGCATCAGGTTATCTTCCTGGTCATGAACCCCTGGCCAACTGTTTATTCCAGTGTTCAGAAGTAAGTGTGTTAGATGGGTGTGAGTATCTGGGATGGATGTGGTGTATGCAAGGTATCTGTGTGTGCAGTATGTGTTTGCAGTATGGTGTGTGTAGTGTGTGTGTGTGTGTATGTGTGTGTGTGTGTGTGTGTGTGTGTGTGTGTGTGTGTGTGTGTGTGTGTGTATTGTATGGGTATGGTTTGTATGTGTATTTGATATGAGTGTGGGTATGAGGGACTGTAGAGACACCGCTTTGCCTGGGTAGCATCAGGCCTAGTTATGGCTGATTCTTTCTTTGCTAGACAAATTTCTGTTTTGGTAGGAGGGTCATACTCGTAATATACCATCTTGAGTGTATTTTTTATGGAGATTGTATATAAAATTATATAAATATATATAACTTGTTCTATTTTAAGGTGAGATGAGACTTATTGGGGGGAGGGGGAGAATCAGATGCAATAGTGCTGACTAACAGTGGGAGCTTCAGGTAAGTTGTCCACATGGGGAGTGGGAGGAGGGGGTGGGGAAGCCATGTTAGCCAGGCAGGAGTGGAGGCTCGTGCCCTCGGCACTCATATATAAATATAAAGAAAACCTATATAAAGCTCTCTATCTAGCATATCTATATATCTATATATCTATATATCTATATGAAGTCATAGTTTGCTTTATTTTTGTACCTGTGCTTAGAGACACTTTGAGCAGTATCACCTCCCCCTGGTGGTCCGGGGTGCTAGCTCATGCCTTGACGCCACCTACTTCTCCATCCTTCCTGAGACATGCTGTCTGTTTGGAGCTTCTGGAGTCTTTCCAATAGAAACGTGTATATATGAAAAAACTCAAGTCATCTGCAGGAAGGGCAAGAGCGCTGAGCAGGGAGGTTCTGCTATGTCTCTTGTCTGGAGGGTTCCCTAACTCATACTATCTGGTAGAGGTGCTCAGTATAGAAAGGATGATGGAGAGCTAAGCATGAATCCATGCCCCTGTGGCTAAGGGTTGGTACTCAGTTCCTTGAAAACAATCTAGCTCAGCATCTTGGACAGAGGGAGGTCAGGTTGTCTGGGTCTTACAGCAATACCTGTCCTGGTTTGTAACGCCTGGGCTCAAGTAGTCCCCTGTAGAAGGTGGTGAGATTTTTGAGGCTGACTGCGTGGGCTCAGTTTTGGAGAAGATACACCCCGGTAATTATTGCTGCAGATTCTTGGAACCAGTGTGAATGTGATATCTAGTATAAATATAGCATCTGTGCTTTTTCACTTATTTTTAATTGGAAAATAAATTGTTATCGGAAATGGGGTGGGTGGTCTAGTCCTGGAACACTGAATGGAAGAGCAGGAATGAGAGACCGATGCTGGGCAGGACTTGAAGGATGAATCCCACTGCTTTCTTCCTCCTACTCAGCCCAGGACTCTGGAACTAAGTAATGTATTGGAAGAATGTGGTGTGGATGGGAGGAGTTCTTTTGTGTTTGGGTAGGAAGCTGTGTACTCTGAGGAATACCTCTCTGAGAATTCGAGACCTCACATATGCTGTAAGGGCCACACTTTGCAGCCTTAGCTGGCATCTCCTGGTGCTAGCTCTTTTTCTCATGTGCCAAGTGATCAGAGTGATATGCTTGAAACTGCTGCAGAAGCCAGGAGAGACTCAAGGCTGTAGTCTAGGCTTCCTGCTTCTCACTCAAGAAAGAGCCGAAGAATCCCTCTTCCCAAGCAGAACATAATGCTAGCCAAGAGCTCCTACCCCAGATGGGGGTGATAGGCAGAGTAGGGTGGAGTGGAGCTTGAATGGAATTCCTGAGCTTTATGGAGACCTTGTGATTCCCTTCATGATCTGCTCAAAATACTCGAATTTTTCCAAGGATATTGTGGGAAAATGGGCTCTGTCCATGTAGTACTGGATGGACTCCAGCACTGGGTCTAACTGGAAGTGTTAGGTGCAGGTCCTACCTGCAGCCTCCTCAGGAGACCAAAGGAGGATAAGGCTAAATTTTCTGTAAATTTTCTGAGAGATTGAACAAGAGAAAGAACAGCAAATTCTTCGTCCCTTCCTAGCTTGAGTCCCCTTCTTACGGAAGAGGGGTTTCCATTACAATTTTTTTGGTTCTCTTTGTATGTAGACTCTGTCTCACTTCTGGTCCTAGAGACCAGCAGAGTTCATCATTTTAGCAGCTTAGGGCTCATACTCCATGAAGCCCAGGTTTGCTCTGACTCTCTACTCTTTCCACATTGAGCCAAAGGCTTGGTCCTTAGAAACCTTAGCAGCATTGAGATACATGAAATCGCCATCCTATTTCATGATGTCCAACTTGACCCTTCTGTGGAAATGGGAAGATGGACATGTCCCTTACCCTGAAGTTTTAGGGCTTGGGCAGTATGTTACCTTCGCCCTTTCTATGACCCAGACCTCAGGAAGATGGTGTAAGGTGAGCGCTGGAGGAGAAAGGTCTGGTGGCCCAACATCAGTCACCTAATCTGCAGAAGAGCCAGCTTTTCACAAGGGAACACAGAGCAAAGAAGGTCAGGGTCTGCTTATATATGGAAAAGGCCAGTTGTCTTATCTTTGAATCTCTCAGTTAATGGGAGGGGTGCTTTGATAAAGCTGCTGCCAGGACCCTGAACTGTTTTGTATACTTGTGATCCATCTTGGTCCCTAGGTCATGGGAAGGTTTTTGAACTGTGAAGTTCTTCCCTGTTGGTAGGAGACAGGGGGAGTCTAAAGAGATTGAGTTTGGCTACCTCTGCTCTATGGAATGAGTGTGGAAACCGATCTGGGATTTGCTCTCCCAAGGGTTGCTCTAGCTCTGTCCTTTCTCCATTGTCCTCAACCAGGAGCCTGGGGGAAAGGGGCACATCCACCACTCCTCAGTTTTTGCCTGGGCCTCACCTTGTGTAAGGTACTCATGTGGAACCATTTTGGGCAATATGAAAGCATGAGGTGGGGGGCAGGATACAGCAGCCCTCCTGTGGGTGAGGGGTGGATTATGATGTTGGAGTAGGAGTTTTTGTCCTGTTGTTGAGGAAGTGACGAGTGCCACCTTCAAGGTCTGAAAGGAGTTGCTCTGTGGAATGATCTTGATGTCGGAATTTGAGGCTGAGGTGTCACAAAGGGAGCGGTAGACCAATGCTCTGTTCACCGAGTCCTGTATATCACTCACAGAAAGTCTTAAAGCTCCATTCAGATTTAATTTCTTAACTGACATTTGTGGGGCCGGAGAATGAGGGCAGGGGTGGGGCATGCTTTCCCAAGTTACCTGTCCTTGTGTGATCCCCGACTGAGCAGATGCTGGCCTGTTTTGGTCAGCCACTCTGGGGCTCCATTTATCACCGCCTGTTTCTCTTTCACGAGGAGGGACTATATCATCGTGGACATACTTCTTCCCTCACTCACCTAAAGGCAATTTTTGTATGAATTCCTTTCCTCCCGTTACCACCCCCCCCATAGTCTGTAGACACAGAAATGGGGAGGTGAGGGATCCTGGAGCTCCCTGCCGGGGTCCCTCATAGGCTGCACACCTCTTGCACCTGGCAACCTCTTGGCTGTTAGTTTTAACATATCTGGACATGACTATCAGTTTTGTCATGAGATTTCTTGCTCTCATTTCAAACCTTTACTCTTCCTTTGACTTCCTTTGGGGCTCTTCCCCACCCATGCCCGGTCTTCTTATGGAGACCATTCAGACCTCATTTCCATCTCTTGAATGTTGAGTATTATTACATCACTGCGCTAGGGTGCTTCATGGTGCTGCTCTGGAAGAGGCCAGCGGGACGAAATCAGCCACCTTCGTTCCTCTGCTTCCCTAGATCTTGCTGTATTTTTGTCTCTATTAGATGTTTTTCCCTAGGGGATTGGGGTGGGAGATTTAGGGGTAGGTTTTGTGTTCTCTCTCTCTCTCTCTCTCTCTCTCTCTCTCTCTCTCTCTCTCTCTTTCTCCCTCCTCCTCCTCTCCTTCTTTCCACTTTCTCTCTGTATGTATGTATGGATTGGTTAAAGTCAGTTATCATGGGCAGCTGACTTTGGTTCCAAATTACAGTTAAACCACACATTGTACAGCTGCACACAGAACACCTTTGAGTGTGAATTTGGATGGCAACTAGAGGCATACTTTTTGAACTTCAGGTATGTAACTGAAAAGTAAATAAAAACACTATTTTTTCAGTAAGCTTTTTTTTTTCTTCTAAAAGATAACTTAAAAATCAAACTATACGAACATTAAATTGGTGCTGTACCAAAGCCTTATGACATATTCTACACTCTGTGTATTCTGTCTCTGGGGAGCCCCCTGCTTTATCACTCTTCTCAAAAGCCTGGGAATGCCAGTGTGTGTCAAGCCTGGGGCTGTGTCCTGGAGACCTGTGGGTCAAGGGGACTCTTGGGAGCAGAAGATGATGGTGGAAGTGGGGTACCCATCTTCTACCTGAGCAGATACTGAGGGGGAACCAGGTGTTGGTGTGTGTGGCATGCATGTGTGTGTGCGTGCATGCATGTGTACATGAGCTCACCAGTGCATAGTGCCAAAGTGAATGCACTACCTGGGAATTGAAAGAGAGACCCAGGTAGGCCTGGGTATGGGGTGGCCATGGGAGTGAGGGGCATGCTCCTTCCTGTTTCCCATTTCCCCTTTCTTCTAGGTTAGTCGTTGAGGTGTATCAGAAACAGCTACCCTCTCAAACAGGTGCTTTCCCCCTCAAAATCTCCAAACTAATTATCTGTGAAGGGCCTGTCCATGGGGCAGGTACCTCAGCTACCAAATCCTCACCGCCTAAGGCTGGGAGGAACCTCTTTCCTCTCTAGCCCTTGCCTAGTTTCTTGGGGACAAAGTTTCCTCCAGGGATCTCCGCATCTCCGGTTCCTCGGCCTGGATGGGCTTCCTAGCCCATTGAGAAGGCCTCACTGTGGGTGACCCATAGCTGTACCTGCTCCGTGGTCCCAATCAATAATACCTGCCCTGGCTGCTGAGGACAGTGACTCCACTGGCCTCAGACTTGTCAGTGTAAAAGCTGAGCACCCACCCAGATTCACCCAGAAGGAGATGTGCAGTCTGCCTTGGCCTGGACTGTTCTTCCAGGCTTCACCTGCTGGCTCTTTCAGGCTTGCTGAAACTAACCAACTCATCACCCATAACACTGCATGCTCATTTCTGCAAACAGACAACAGTACATAAGCAAACACGGGAACCGTGAGAGAAAGAAGGCACATCTAGTAGCCAGATGTGTAGCCAGTGAAGGCACCCTTGGGGACTTTGCAAGCGAAGCTGATTATAAAACGTTTAGTATTTAATTGCTCCTCATGTAACATTACTCTGCTTCAGAAATGTTTTGTATTTTGATATAAATAAAAATTTGCTTAAAAAGTTTGTTTTCTATTTTTTTTTCTAATATCTAGAGTATTTGCTAATGGTATCATAGTTTTCATCCTGGCCCCAGATCTCCCGCATCAGCTCATTTTAGCTCACGGCTCAACGTGATTCTGAACTAGTTGTTCTTCATCTACTGCTTAGGTGGGTCCTGAGGGGTTGTTCTGCATGAGTCCCTGTAGTCTGCACCTGGGATCTACCAGGGGTGAAAATAGATACGCCTCCTTGTCCACTAGGAACTTCCGCTGTGGTCGTGCCCGGGCAGTCAGCAATGATGGCGGTAAGAACTGCATGGGATGTTATAAAGTGGTTAGTGATCGGAAAAAACGGGATAAACATGAACGGGAAAAGTGGGGAAAGGTGCAACTCAAGTGTAGAAGGAAAGAGTCAACTGCGGGCTAAAGAGATGTTCAGAGGCCTCACAAGGAAGATGACATTTGAGAAAGAGCCAGAAGGGAGCTTTGTCTCTACCAAAGGCCCGTGCAGTCTTTTACTTCTGCCTGGAATCATGTGTGCCAATGGTCACTTTCTAGTTTGACTCTACCTTTGTGAGTCCACAGCCATAACCAGCTGAGTCTCAGCCCGTTGTGATAGTCTCATTGATGAGCTTCAAGGGCTCAGGGACTGACTTCCCTTCCACAGGAAGGGATCAGCAGGCTTGCACTCTTACACTCAGCGCCAGGGTTATTTGGTGGGTGTGGCTGCCACCACTGGCACAGGTTCCTTCTCTGACCAAACTGCCCTCAGGCCTTGACACCCCTTCTCTGTTGTTAGGCAACAGCCCTCCTTATTTTGTCAACTCTATGCATAGGAAGTTTTGTTTCTGTCTTTTTTGAGGCAGAAACTTGCTCTGTAGCCTAGGTTGGTCTTGAACTCACCATTTTCCTGCCTTCTAAACTTTATTTGGGACTTGGTAGAGGACAAATACCAAACATGGGCTTTAAAAAATATATGCCTATGGTTCTGGGTGAAGAAACCAACCAACTAACTATGCCAGTCACCATTCCAGCACAGTGACAAAACACCCAAGAAGATAAAATTAAAAGCTATTTCAGTCTATGACCGGGGAAAAGTTCCAGTACTCTCTTAAGTCCTACCACCTAAAGGATCCCTGATCTTCCAATAATATTCAGGCTTCAGACAAAGCTGTTAGCATGTAGCCCATCCTATAAGTCATAGCACCAGTCAACCAATCCCTCACACATAGATTCATCTACAAATTCAAAAACTTGTGCTATAGTTTAAAAAGTTTACATGTAAGTGATGAGTAGGAATCAACACACATACAGCTGTCCTTTGCCTCAACAATCTGTTGCAATTCTCCTTCCTACTTGGTTTCCATGTCTTCTGCCCTCTCTTTATTTTTGTTGGCAGGGCTTGTGGAAAATGTTTTGGTATTTTTATATGCATTGGTTTTAATTTTTAAAAGCAGATACACAGTTATTTTCTGCCTTTTTAAAAAAATAAGTGAACATAGCCAAGGACCTTTTCTATGTTCAATAGTGTTTATATAATTTTTTAACCCTTAAAAATTTGTGTATGAATGTTTGCCTACATGTTTTTATGTGTACCATGTGCATGCAAGAGTCCACACAGGTCGCGAGATGGTGTCAGATGCCTTGGAACTAGAGTTACAGGCAGCTGTGAGCTTTCACGTGGGTGCTGGGGACCAAACCTGGGTCCTCTGTAAGAGCAGCAAGTGCTCTTAATGGCTGACCCATCTCTCCTGCTCCTTAACCTATTCTTTTTGAAAAGTTCCCCTAACTCCATACTTTACAAAAATATTTCAGATTTCATTTTTGTGCTCACAGTAACCTCATGTGCTAAGGAAAATATATCTTCCTCATCCCTATGGACCAGTGAGGGTTCCACTCAGTGGCTTCTCCTTCCCTTTTCCCTTGCTTCTGCCCATCCCTTTACCTCTTCCTTTCCTCCTTGTTCACATCAGCTTTGACATCTGCAGAACAGAAATGAGATCCTTGCAAGGACCTCCTGCACTCCCCCCAGATTTGGTCACATAGCTCCTGGGAACCCAACAGTAATGAGCAATGTGATACTTCTATTCGTGAAAATTCAAATTAGTTACCATGATAAAGATAGAGCTAGGGAGAGCTCACAGGGCAGCAAACTTCATGGGCTTTACAAATCAAGACCATTTTGTTTTGGGGGTAGATTATCTGCTTAGGAGGCCAGTGAAAAGATCATTAATACCCTCCTAAGTGAAGAACATAGCTTTTAAAAGATGATGCTGCAGTGGAGATGAAGAGAGGTCAAGCCAGTGCAGATGTGCTGACAGGGGAGTGTTTCCACACTTGTTGAGAGACTTGCCATCAGAGGTACAGGAAGGAGAATGAGGGGAAAAAAAATAAAACAGGTATTTATCTGCCAGCCTGGAATGGAGGACAAGGGAGGAGAGGTGAAAGAGGAAGGAAATCCAGTCATGGAGTTTGAAATGTTTGCTAGACATCCAGGGGAGATGCCACTGGATATGAGCCTGGAATTCTAGTGGGAGCCTGGAGGTAGTATTAAAAACCTAGGTAGAGAATGGATGGAGGAGGAGTGGATGGGGAGCCGTAGAAGGCGGCGGGGGTGGGGTGGGGGGGCGCGGGGACGGGAGGAGAGGAGGGAAACTGCAGTTGATATATAAAATAAATTTAAAAATTTAATAAAAAAACAACCTAGGTAGAGAGAGGATACAGAAGGGCAGAGGATGGTAAAGCCCTCAGTGAAGGACAGAGAAGTGACCACCTGGTGTGGGTTGAACAGAGGAGGTAGTTGCTGTTGACAAGAACAGTCTCAGTGGGAGAGTGGGGACAGCAATCCCAGCTGGAGTGGGTTGAGGAGAAAGCTGAGACAACAGCTATGAACTAATCCAGGGCTAGGAGGCAGATGAGAGAATTTGCTGACCAGAGCAGGCATTTCTCAGGACACCGCTTTAGGGTTTAGAGGCACGTAGGTGCAGCAGCAGTCCACCAGACCCTCTTCCTTAGGCGGATATGCCAAGTCTCCAACTCCTCTGGATCCTGGTGGCTAATGTTTCACAGGTTCCGTTGCTGACAGGTCTTGCTCTGTTGACACCTCGGTTAAGAGGTGTGTCCCATTGTGGCTGGCTCGGAGACAAAGGCCACCTCTATCATGATCTTCTGGATCAGGCCAAGGTTGGAATTTATCTGAAATGACATTGTTATTCGCGTCTCTATATCCTATCTAGCGTCCCTTTATCCATTTAAGTTTCTTTGCAAAGAGCGTTGTAGCACACCCCCAACTGCCTGAATCAGTCTTTGCATATAAGGAACACATTCTAAGATATTCTGGCCAGACGACCCTAAGGATGGAATTCTGAAGGTGGGTTCCACAGAAGCCAGATGCCAAGAGGACACTGTCACAATGCTACATACAGTTGCAGTGGTCCCTGACATGTCTTAACAATGTAATTGTTGAGACTGTCACCTCTGTGGAGCTCAGGCAGGGTACAGGTGAAGGTATGTATTTTAGAGATACTGAGAAAGAGTACTCCTGAGAAGAAGAGTGGGCCAGTTGTGACTGATGGGAGCAGCAGGTAAGTGTTGAGGCTGCTGGATCAAGGGACTAGACTGCAAAGCTCCAAGGGGGAGATTTTGCACATTTGAGGGCAGGGTTTATCAATCTTGGCTCTGGAAGGCAGTTCTAATAGCCTCTAGAAGGTTCTGTGAAGCTTGATGAGAGGGATGGCCCACCCAAAACAGATGTTAGAACTCCACTGCGTTCTGTGACTAGGGGTTTCAAAAGGCGTAGAGAGTAGGCACAATAAAATGGATCTGTTCTAA